TTACAAGCCTTTATATATTGAAATAATGCTCATAAACGATAGTTTGAGTGCATATTTTAGTTCTACAATGGATGTCATAGCCTACTTGTTGTGTACATTTCACTCAAGCCACTTTTTTAGCTTAACTCTGTTGAATTAGGCTAACATTTTTTATTGTACTGATAGGTTATTGTTTACTAGTTGTAGTGGGGCTATTATTTAGAGTTTGTGTTAAGTAAAAGAGCTGTTATTTTCTAAATCTTGGTTTTTCAAGCCCCACCTTTCTAGCCAATTTTTCTTTGTAATACTTGACTTAATTGGAACTTTTTCTATATGGTTTTGTAGCTTGAGAATAGGTAGTTGTAGTGGGCCTATTCTCAAAAGGAGTGTATTTTTAGTTTTGGTGCAATTGTGTTGTCAAAATCATCATTTTTAGGTGACAAGAGATGGGAAAGTCATGCATTGGTAGACTGCATATACTAAAAGAAAAGGAAAGTTTCAGCAATTATAATGCATGATAAATGTCAAGTTTTATTGTATTATTGTACATAAAATCACACTTTTATTAGCAATAATAATACTTTTTATCATTGTTTTATTTTTATTCTGAATGAAAACGTAATATGACGTATTTCCGGTGAAACAAGCCTCAGAACATCCGGTCGGGCCGTGTTTCATATCCAGGGGTATATAGTATCTATGGTTAAAGAATGGTTTCAAAAGTATGGTAAGTAACGATACCAAATATTGCGCCATCACTTTAATCTTATTAATAATTATAGGTAGGTATTTGGACATACTTGCTATATTGTGTGACAGCTTCAACGAAGACACAAAATACACTATTGGTAGAAGGCAGGGTAATAAGAGTCACCTTAGTACATTGCAGCTAGTACAGTCAATGAAGGTGTGCATGTTTTGTAAATGCGGCTAGGCAATTTCAGTTTAAATCAGCTTAAACTTTCTACATAGCATAAGGGCATTAAATATCTGTATGAAGAAAAAAATGCTATTTAAAATCCTAGCCCTAGTTCAAACTAATTTTGATAATGATGACATTAATGTCATATGGAGTGTTTGAGTTCTTTTAAGAGAGCCATTTAGTTCATTCCAGCTCTACTTGCCAACTTGTTTTCTGTGTGACGACCATGAGTAATATAGTCTCCCTTAGTGTAGTACCACTCATACTACAAGTATAAAGACCACTGTCAGCCACTTTAGCTGATTTTATTTTGAAGATACTCTGTACAGCTGGACTAGTAGAAGGGCCGCCATGTTGAGTCCTGAATTTAATGTTTTCATAATTGGCAATGATAACATTAGATGGTATCAAGCCACTCCAAGTAATTTTATAATTAATTGGTAGGTATCCAGTGAAAAGACATGATAGTGTGGCATCATTCCCTTCTTCTATGATCACAGTATTAGCTGGTGTTGATACACTACCTATTGTGTCATAGGAAAAAGAAATAATATCATTCAATATTAGCAACCATTTGTTATAAAAGGGTATGGATGAATAGGCACTATAGTCACATTAGCAAGTACTAGCTGTACATCTATGGCAAATTTTCAAGCCAACTTACTATAAATTATCAAATTGATGGTTTTTGAATTTGTGTTGGGTTCTATAGTACCCCATGCTGATTCACCCATTGCTAGATAAGAGGCAGAGCAAGTATAGTTCCCAGCATTAGCAGCACTGATACTTGATAACATCAATATACTGGTCCTAGTGGTATCTGCTACTTTAATCACTCCATTATTAACTCCAGGGCCAGTCCAAGTCCAATTAAAGGTTCCATTATTAACAACTGTGCAGGATAAGTTAAGAGATGACTGTACTGTATCAAGCTGCAGTGTTTCATTAGGAGACTTGAATATAATTGGAACAGCAGAAAAAGGAATAGGTTCTATAGAAATAAGGAGTCATCATGCATGAGCATAATATGCACATTAATGTAGTTACCTTTGTCTGAAAAGAGTCTGATTTCACTAATTGAAGTTTTTGTTGCAAGATCTGATGAAGAGAGAGAAAACCTCAAATCAAAGAAATATATGCCCTCAATAAGTGGCTTTGAATTGAGTATGATCATCGAAAGCATCCTAGTACCATTATCAGACTGGGATACTTTATAATTATTAATGAAGGTCAAGTGAGTAGGATCAACATGAGGATCTGAAGTAAACACTTTTAGACTAGACACTCCACACAATCCATATCCTAAGGATGCATTACTGTAGTAGTATACATCAATGCGAGTCAAGAAATCATTTATAGGTACAGGCCGTGTAAACCCTGAGAGAAATTTAATCCGAAAAGGCCTTTTCCATTCTACAAAGTGATCAGAATTAAAGGCCAATCCTTCATTAGTTACACCATCATGCAGCTTGCAGCCATCACTAATTATGCTTTCATAGCCACAAAAAATATAAGGATCCTTGACTTTAACTGTTGAAGGAGTACTCACTTGGGAGCCTGCTATTTCTACTATAAAACAAACAGCTCATATTAGCTATGATATTCATGATTAAAATTATTATTTACTTTCAAAAGTTTGTAATGAAGATTCTATGAGGAATGACAATAGTAACAATTTGGTCATTGCTGCCTATAAAAAAATAGATAAATAAATAAATAAATAAATAAATAAATAATAATAATATTAATAATATTAATGCAGGATGTTTCTCACCATCTCCTTCAGAGGCTGTCAGTCACACTCTGGTTGCAAAGATGTAATTATAATGTAATTATAATAATAATAATTATTATTAATTTGTTTATTACTGTAACAATGGGATATGGCCAATAAGATTAGTTGTTGATGTTGTTATTAGCTACTTATTTGAATGTCTAGTGGTGTTGTATCAGTTATTGTGATTTTTAAAAGATAACTTGTTCCTCTCTCTGTAATCTGTGACACTGGTGTTTTAATGCTGAATCATTTTCTACCTGTCCTGCCCTCTGTGGACAGGATGATTTAACTTTAAATTTCTCCCATCTCTCTTTTGTCTTGTGTTCAAGTTCTACTTTTTGTTTGTGTTTCTTTTCTTCATTTCCCTTTTTGTGATATGGGTTTCTCCCATTTTTACCACTCTAGCATAATGCCATTATCTTATAAGTTGACAGATTGGCTTAGTTAATGGGTGCATCTTGTGCCAATACAATGAATGCACCCATATGCATCATCCCCCTAACGACACCCCTGGTGTCCTTCATCAAACTTCAGTTAGCACTGTCTTTCATCACATTATTGCAATACTGCAGCAACATTCTGCAACACGGTTATACAGGAGTCACTGACTTTGCATGAAATACCCTATGCTGTGACCAAATGAGGAGAGCTTGACTTGTATATTGCAATCAATATTGAATTTGTAATAAAATCTCTCCAGGGAAAATGAAAAGAGCACACTTATAACAGTCAGGCAGGTCTGCCTCTTGCAGTTTACTGAACTGCGAGAGGCAGACCACTTAACATCAGTCTTAATCAGTCTAATTGATGACTTTGCTGACAAGAAATAATAAGCATAGGCATTATAGCAATGCTATGCTATAACACAATTCAGACCTATAATACTACTACCGCTATACTACTAGTTGGCTACACTATTATACTACTACTACTACCAATGATAACTAATAAATGTAATAATACTGAAATTCACACAATTACAATAATAATGAGAACAAGCAAAAGCCTATACTAAACAAAGTAGGCGGCATGGAAAATTTCCAAAGATGAAATTAAACACCCAAACGTTTGATTGACTTGCATTTCTAATTTTCTATAATTATTCATAATGCTTAAATATCGTGAAATTTAAACTCGACATAGCATGGATTCAAATTAATGACTGAACTGCACCTATGTACCATACTTGGTAGGACTATGACATGTTTGGTGAAATAAGTAATAAAGTAAGATCATTATGACATTTTAACTCATTAGCACTGGCATTCGTTACGACATTCAACTGATTAGCACTGTCTTTCATCACACATTGCATCAACTTCTGCAAGTAATTATTGCATTACGGTATTCACCCACACTCATGATTTGGATGGCAAGATACAGTGTAGCTACATAGGGAAACATGAAACAAGAGGCCTTCGTGGCTTCTAGAGCTTGCCTGAGTGATAATAAATGGTGCATGAAGAATAAAGCCAAGAATGCCTTCAGGTAGTAAGCCTATATAAACCTTGACGCCGGTATAATAGCATGCAATCTTTTGAACTGATAAGCCATAAGAGAAGCTCTTACTCAGTCTTAAATCTACTGCTTGACATCACTGATTGCAAAAGAAGGATAAAGGCTGAAACTCACTGTACATGAGAAGTCACTTGTTATGCCGCAGGCCAGCGGTCACATGAAATTCATGATTTCCATGAAAATTTCAAATACAAATGTGCAGGTCGCTATCATGAGTGTGTTGCTGTATTAAGGCCTTTTCACACTGGCAGAAGTAATGCGCATTAATCGTCTTCACACTAGAGTGGTTTCAAATTGATGCGCATCAATGCGCATCAGTCTCACTTCACCTCCAGAGGTGGATTTATGTGAAGTGATGCGCTTCGATCAACGTAAACCAACGGCAACAATTACAAGAACACAAATGATACATAATTCAGCTGCTAGTGTGAACAAGATCAATGTGCATTATTTTAGCTGCATCAACAAAGCGCATAAAAACTGTGCCAGTGCCACGGTGAAAAGGCCTTTACTCACCGGGTACATGATGATGATACTGGGCAGCTGAACCACAAAGGAAATGTGATGGGAAAAGAGAAGATCAGAAGACTGTAGAGAGCCTGAATCTACTAACTGACAGTGTCTTTGCAGAAGCAAGGCCCTCAAGGTGTGAACATTTCAGATCCCGTTTGCAGGTTGCTTGCTCGTAATCACGTGACCATTGTTAACAGGCTAGCCATAGATAAAGGGCTAACTTGGCTAGCTAGCTCGCGTAGCCAGCCCCTCCCTAAAAATACAGTCCCAAAAATGCAATGAAGTTCTTAATACAAAAATTAGCTAGTGCTACAGCAAGGTTAAAAGTTAAATGCAATGGTCCAGAAAAATTTGTCTCAAAGTAGCTGATTTGCTTTTCAGTCAAGCCCTGTAAATCAGCAGCTGGCTACATTATGTCTGAATTTAAGTCAAAAAAGTCAAAATATGAAACTTGGTTGCGGCAACCTTTCAACCTTGCTGTAGCACTAGCTAATTTTTGTATTAAAAACTTCATTGCATTTTTTGGAACTAGTGATGTAAAACCTTGGAGTTTTCAGCTACAAACCTTTAGCCCCACCCCCTTATTAAGTTGCAGGAAGTATGTTTAGCTGATTATCTCTGTAGTTGTTCAACCAAACTTAGTACTTTTTATAACAAGTAATTGTGCATGCCTACCTACTGATGTCAGACAACTACAGGATAAGACTGCTCAAGTACTTGAAAAAATATTTAATGCCACGTATGGGGAGCCAAAAGGGACAAAAAGCCAAAATTTGAAGCCTAGCCTCCTTACTTCCAAAATTAAAGTCATGTTTAGTAAATTGGAGTCTGATATAATAAATTGGAGTCTGATATAGTAAATTGCAAGCCTCATTTAGTAAATTTGATTCCTATTAAATAAATTAAATCTTATATCATAAATTTGAGTTTTATTAGTTAATTAGAGTCTGTATAGTAAATTGGATTCCTATATAGAAAATTGAAGTCCAATATAATATATTTGACTCCGATATAGTAAACTGAAGTCTGATATACTATAGGAAGTGGATATTGGTCCGGCAGCCGGACGCCTATTTCAGGGCTATTGGTCCGGCAGTCCCTATATAGTATACTGGGGCTTCGTCCCAGTGTACTAATACACGATTTTATATAGAGATATCAAGTATAAATACGACAATCAGCAACGATGACGCAGCAGGGTTGCGGTGGTGTAGTGGAGAGGCTGGTCTCGATTGCACGGATGGGGTCAGCGGTTCGAATCCTGTCGGGACTATTGACTAAAACTATGCTGCAATGTTTGATTTTTTTTCTTTTTTTTAATCACTTTTTTACTTTTTTTTTTAAATAAACACCCTCTCGTACATCTTAGCCTCCGGGGTCGTAGGGTTGGGATTGGGGTTTAGTGTTTAGTTTTTAGAGCACCCTCTCGTACATCTTAGCCTCCGGGGTCGTAGGGTTGGGATTGGGGTTTAGTGTTTAGTTTTTAGAGCACCCTCTCGTACATCTTAGCCTCCGGGGTCGTAGGGTTGGGATTGGGGTTTAGTGTTTAGTTTTTAGAGCATCCTCTCGTACATCTTAGCCTCCGGGGTTGTAGGGTTGGGATTGGGGTTTAGTGTTTAGTTTTTAGAGCACCCTCTTGTACATCTTAGCCTCCGGGATTGTAGCGTTTTGGGATTAGGGTTTCTTGATAAAAAGACTAAGTTCCATTTTGCACTATTGCGCATGCGCACAAGCTGTTTTACGGAGAACAATGGACTGCCAGATCAATAGCCCTGAAGTAGGCGTCCGGCTGCCGGACCAATATCTACTTCCTATACTATATTGGACTCCTATATAATAAATTAGAGTTTGATATAGTAAATTGGACTCCTATATAGCGATATAATATATTGGACTTCGAAATAGCAAATTGAAGTCCGATATAATATATTGGACTCCTATATCACAACCTGCAGAGTCTGATATAATGGAATCGAATACAATGAAGTGGACTCTTCTATAATTAAATGGAGTCCAATATACCTTAAGCCTACTATTATTTGCGTCTATTAATTTTAGCGAAATCAGCAAAAGTCATGTTTAGCGTTACTAATTTTAGCGTTTTTAACCAAATTAACTATAAATAATAACCATTATAATGAATAATAATTATTTTGGCGTCTATTTAATTTAGCGATTTAAAGCTCTCTCGCTAATATCGCTAAATTTAGTAGACGCTAAAAATAGTAGGCTTAAGGTACTAAAAATCTAATATTAATAACTTGGAGGATTAGCCTAGTTATTAAAGAATCTAAAATTGCCACCCACTCATCATTAATAATTATGAATAACAAGCAACTCAAGTGATTAAGTATATCGTGTTAAAGTCAGACAATGTCATTATGAGAAGAAATTATACCATGTTGAAATCAGAAGTAAGAACCGATTTCAGGGCTAAGCAAAACATTTCGTAGTCTCCTATGAAGTGTTGTGGAAAATTTATTTCGCCTGAACAAAGGTGTGTAGATATAGTTCCCATGCTATCGGTTGTAAACTTAATCTTTATTGAGTTCAGCAGGACTGACATCTTGCCCGTAATACTAATAAAAATACAAATTCCATCAAACCTAGAATATAAAGTAGAGTGAAAAAATGGGTAAAAACCATGGAATTGGTTATATCCAAATACCTTCTAAATCACATTCATCAATACATCTCCTCAAATAACTTAAAATAGAGCTCTCCTGTGCAACAAACAATTGCTCATTAGGCAATGCTAGGGCATTGTGAACATTATCAGCAGTGAGATCTCTTGAAAATATAAAAAATGTACAGCTTTATAAAGATGCCGCACAAACTCTCTCTCTCTCTCTCTCTCTCTCTCTCTCTCTCTCTCTCTCTCTCTCTCTCTCTCTCTCTCTCTCGCTCTCTCTCGCTCTCTCTCTCTCTCTCTCTCCTACTAAATGTATGCTCTGCCTTGTTTCTATTGCTCTATATCTCTATTATTTTCTTTCTTCTTCTCTCCCTTTAAGACCTGCAAGTTTATATTTAGCTTTGGATGGAGTTGTTAGAATTGATGTCTGGAGAAACTATATACTTGAAGACTCCTTAGTTGTGTGCAAAAAAGAGGATTTTTCTCCTAAGAAATTGCTTAAGGTCAGCACGTACGTTAATCATGTATCATATTGATTGGTGTTTTAAAGATGGAAAGTGCAAATTTTTTCATGTATGCTTTTTGGCCTCACACACTTTTTGCATAGGCAAGAACTAGGCACTACTTTTTTCTGTCAGTTACTCATTTATGTTATTATTTTGTCACAATGCATAGGTAAGAAAGTTTGCACTTGAACATGCAATTGATTTAGGTGGACCAAAATGAGAATTCTTTCACTTGCTTTCTGCAGAAGCTACTAAGTACTTGATTGGAGATTTTGGTAAATTTTTTTCCACCAACGCTTTGGCTGTTCAGGTATGTATCAATGACCTACACTTGTTTTAGCACATATTGTATGACCCCTGATGAAACGTGATTTCATAGCTGATTTTCATTTTAGAATTAAGTTTTTTTGCACTAGGCCAATACTGCGGCATGTCAGTGACCCAGGGAGGCAATGGGTTTCCGTATTTTCATCACTTGGTATATGAATATTTTGTTACTGGAGCTGTATCGTGTACTATTGATATTGATAGAGATTGTATCCCTTATGGAATTTTGAAGTACATTTTGGATAAAGTAATTAAATAATAATTAAACCTTTATTAATTTATTATTACATTTACAGCTAGATACAGCGGACTCAAAAGACGACATTCAAGCAGTGTTTCATGTTGATGAAGCCACTGAATTTTTATATGCCACTGACTCTCCTAAACCTGTATTAAATCTGGTCTTAGATGACAAGGATAACATCCAATCCATTTTTGTAGCCTATCATTGTTTTCTAAAAGTCAAATCTGAAATGGATCGGTTTATTGAGGGGCTACATGTCACTGGAGTACTTGATTTTGTTCGGAGTCACCCTCTGCATTAAGACACATGTTTGTTTTCATTAAAAAGAAACTGACAGCTGGTTAGGTTTTTTTGCACTTTTTTATTTTTAGTTTTTAGAGGAATTAAAGTCATTATTTAAATTTAAATGTGGCTTAGAAGTTGACTCTCTTGAACCAGTTGCCAGCAACAAAGTTGCTCAATGTTTATAGTATATAGCATATGGCATATATGTACATGATGACCACTGTGAGATGGGGAGTGGTTGTCAGGCTACTCCTCCTCATCACGACGTGTGTGTGTGTGTGTGTGTGTGAGTGTGTGTGTGTGTGTGTGTGTGTGTGTGTGTGCTGTGTATACAAACAGTGACAGTAGTATATAGTGTTGACTGTTTCAACAACTTGTTACTTGTATTGCAGAGAAAGCCATAATAATTCCTGGTAGTTAGAATACAGTGAATATGTCCTCTCAGAGTAAGTTATAGGTATAGTTTACATAAAGTGTACTTACTAAGAACATTTTACCCACAGAGACACCTTATCAAGGACCCGATAGAGTGTTTGGTGATTTTCGTTGCTCAAAGTGCAATCGTACATGGAGCAGTGGTAATTCATGGGCAAACATGGGACAAAATGTTTGAAATGTGACATTATGGTTTACCCCTACCAACAGGTAAGGAAACAACCAGCCCTCTTATGATTGACACACCTCTATGTATATTTATACACAAAGTGTCCTCTTCTCAAAAGAGATAAAGATGAAGAAGACTATTTGTATGATTCTGGTGCTCCCCACCTCTCCCATCTTTGTGAGAAATGCAAGAAGCTTGGATACAACTGCCGGGGAGGATCCCGAGGAGGATTTTCCTATGATTTTGACTATTAATTCAGCTAATTATCATACTAAAAGTTACAAAGACTTTGTTGTGTTTGAGCTAGCAAGAGTGATTTGTATCATGTCTATGTCTATTGTGTACTTTGTATTGAAATGTGTTTTTTTCATTTTGTAAACAAACTGCAAGGTCATTGTGTTGACTTCATGGAAATAAAGTACACATTATGTAGCACAGGGAATGGGACTATCCCTCGGTCTATCCCTTCAATAATACAATAAAGATGGAATGATGGTGCAGTGATTAGAGCCCATCACTTTGTATGCCAACACATTTACTGTGTCATACTATACTACAAGCTGGGACTTCCCCATTGATTGAATGCACCATCTCCTTAACATTGAATTGTGTACAATCATTGAATTGTGTACAATCATTGAATTGTGTACAATCATTGAATTGTGTACAATCATTGTTATTGTTCGTTCACATTAAAATATGCACTAATATGATTTGAGGACAAAAAAACATTTATAATGCACATCACCACAATGGCATGCCATAGTAGTACTAAGAGTATATTCAATAAACATACAATCTAGCTATAACCTTATGTCCTTATAGAGTGTGAATACCAGAAATTTTGTTATTTCTCCAATACAACATGTATAGAAGAAATGTAAGTGTGGACATACAAATATATAAACATCGCATGTGGGTGAAATCAATTATAGGAACGAACTGTGGGCTACGCTCCCAGGTCGTTAAAAATACCATCATGTAAGCTATAACTTTATGCTCTTATAGAGTGTGAATACCAGAAGTAATGTTATAAAATTGCTATTGTTGCTGAGTCATTGCTGACAATTCTTAGGAACTTATTCTAGAAGACTATAGCATATGGCTAACCGAAGACAAATCCTAAGATACAACTGTAAGCTGTGGTAGTAAAATTGTATGAAGAGTACTATCATCTTCCTATTATGTATAGTGACACCTTACCAAGGAAATAAGAGAGTATTTGGTGAATTTGACTGTCACAATTGTGACAATGCCTGGAGTAGTGCTTTCTCTTATGCTGATACATGGCAAATGTGTGAAGTGTGCAATATGGAGATTTATCCTCATCGCCAAGTAATATCTCATATATATCAGCTAATGCTATTGCTTTGACATTTGTAGTATCCACTGCTACGTGGCAAAAATAATTCAAAAAAGCCTCATCAGTCGCATTTGTGTGGAAAATGCCAAGAGCTTGGACATAACTGTAGCAAATATAAATGATATTTGGAGCATTTGACACCACATGTAGTAGAATAATGTGCTTTGTCATCAATTGTAAACATGATTGTGTTTATAATTGTACTTTTGAGTAACACTAAACTGTTTATACAGTAAGACAATCAATTTGAAGAATAAACTGATGAGAGCAAATATGGTAATATATAAGGAGGCGGCTACTGGCAGTGACATTTCAGGAACCACTTCTCTTTTTGTGGTTGGAGTAATAAGAGCTGCAGCCTCACTGAATTATGGCGACATGTGAAAGTAAGGCCAATGCAGTATAGCAGACTAAGGTCTTCTTAGGAAATAAAAAAGAGTTGACTCACAACTACCTTGCTTGCTTATAATACAGGCATTGAAAGGTAGTATGTGCTTGTTATAATTGAAACCGTTAGCTTACTAATTGGAGTTGTCAACACAGATGCTGATTAATAAATTTAATGATATTCATTGCTTTGTTTGATTTATAAAAATAACCCAGTCATGTTTTACTTTGCTAGTTGTGGTAAGAGAGGCAAGCATGTGCATCTTTCGTGCTTTAAAGTGGCTATTTGAAACAGTCCTTTGGGTGGCACTGTATCCTTGGAAAAAGACAGCAACACGTCCAGAAAGTGTGAACTATCACTTTACAAGGCAGTGCAACTACCAATGTGGATTCTGCTTTCACACTGCCAAAACAAGCTTTGTCCTGCCTCTAGATGATGCTAAAAGAGGACTACTGATGCTGAAAGAAGCAGGTAAGCCACTCTCCGGCAAAGTTCCGAGTAGAACTATGGCAGTCACCTGTCACCATTCCCCTGTATTTACCAGCTGCTCCAATCACTTCTAGGGATGTGTAAGATAAACTTTAGTGGCGGAGAGCCTTTCATTCACCAGAAAGGCGAATATGTTGGAGAGCTTGTCAGGTATTGTAAAGAGGAATTGCAGTTGGAGAGTGTGACAATTGTTAGCAATGGTAGCCTCATTAAAGAAGAATGGTTTCAAAAATATGGTAAAGACAACAAATATTGTGCTATCACCTTGATCTTATTAATAATAATTATAGGTAGGTATTTGGACATACTTGCTATATCATGTGACAGCTTCAACGAAGACACTAACTACACTATTGGTAGAAGGCAAGGTAACAAGAGCCACCTTAGTACATTGAAGCCGATCGAAGGATGGTGCAGAGCGTACAGAGTTGCCTTCAAGATTAATACAGTTGTAAATATACACAACTGGGAAGAAGACATGAGCAGCGAAATATTGGAGCTGAATCCTGTCCGTTGGAAGGTTGGTGATAATTGCGTTATGTCATGCATGCATTCCAACCTATTAGAAAGAGCAATTAGTCTGCCCCCACACACATGAAAGTTGTATTTGTGAGATGCATGCTACCAAGAGTACATAATACCTAAAGGTATTACTAGGTATCATTTACTCTTGATGCTACCAAATAAACAATAGCGGACTATATTATCTTGACAATACATGTAATCAGAAGTATATTCTTTAGGTATTTCAGTGTTTACTGATTGGAGGAGAGAATGTTGGACCAGATGCCAAGCGTAATGCCGAGTCCTTTGTGATATTGGACCATCAATTTCAGAGTTTTCTTAAAAGGCATCAAAATGTTAAGCAGTTGGTTCCAGAATCGAATTCCATGATGAGGGATTCCTATCTCATCCTTGATGAATATGTAAGCATTATGAATGTAGATACTACTATTATGCTGTGCTTAGTACTCCTAACATAGTATTATGTGCTACTTTATTATTGATAGATGAGGTTTCTTGATTGTACCAAAGGCCGGAAGGATCCATCAAAGTCGATTCTTGATGTCGGTGTAGCTAATGCTTTGAAATTTAGCGGTTTTGATGAAGCAATGTTTTTGAAAAGAGGAGGAAAGTATACTTGGAGTAAAAGAGACATGAAATTAGAATGGTGAATGTTAAGTGAAGTTTCACTTGTGTTTTAACATTATTGTCATTTATTATGATTATAGTTTTAAACCATGAAAATATAATGTTATTGAAAAGATCTATAATAGTTATTGAAGTTTGAAATTGGATAATAATCAAATCAATTCTAAAATTAGAAGCAGGCGGTGACAATATTCACAATAATAGCGTGGGGAAAATTTAGGGGGGAATCCCTACTTGATACTACCATAGGTATTACGTAAGAAAACAATGTGCCTATTTATAGCGCTCGATCAGCATTTATAAGCGGAGCAATGCACCATGTAAGCTCAGAATGATCTAGATTTCCACTCCAGCACCTTTTGCTCTGCAGATATTGCAATTGCTCAAGTCTAAGAAACAAAGAAAATGCCTGAACGAGGCACATCAGAGGACAAACTTTTAGTGCCGGGAAGATACCTTATCGAATACAAGTGCCTTGGTAAGGATGGTCACACTTGGAGGAGCCTTACAGGAAAATCTGGAAAAAAGAAAAAGAACAATAAAATTTGCCGTAGATGTAATGCTAGAGCCACTGCCTCCTGCAGACCACTTAAAAGAGGAGTAAGTTAAATTTAAAATGATAAAATCATTAATGTTTATATCTATATATGATTTTATTTTAGGATATTCCAGAAGACAAGCGCTTGTGGGGCAAGTTTACATGTACTACATGTGCAAATGAATGGTCCAGTGGGAATGCTTGGAAAGGTTATGCTCAGGAGTGCAAGAAGCCAGGATGCAAGACACCAGTAGTAACATGGGTGCTGAGCTTCCTCATGAGAGGAGGTAGCATTGGTGACAGAGCCCATGAAACACGTTTGTGTGCTAAATGTGATGAAGTTGGAGACTGTCGCAAATGGAGGAAATGAAACTCAATCAGAATATAATTTATCAATATACAGAGTTATGTAGCACATTTTTACAAGTCATGCTAATTGATGTAGTACATATGTAAAATGAATTTTTCCATATTAATTCAATGTACTTTGTAATTATTTTGAAATTATTTGCATCCTATGACCAATTCAATTTCCAGTCAAGCAAATCGAAAATGGCATCATTAAATATCGAATAATAACTTAAGAGCAGTTCCTGATCATCAGAGCTCATGTGATGCTGTGGAAGAAACGGTTTTACACCTTTGTTGTATACATGGGATGTAATCTCATACAAGGAGTCAGTACTCAGTGGTTTTAATCCAACGAAATCCAGCACTTGCTTTAAAATGAAAGCAGGTCTCCAAAACATCTCTTCACTGTTAATAATTAGAATATTTTCCTTGGGAAAGTTGCATAGCCAGTTCATTACAAAAACATAATACAGACCTTCGTACAGGATATTCTGACAGCACTCAAATAAACAGAGTAACTTGTTCCATTCCGAAGCACGATGAGGATAAACTTTATCACTAGCGCCAAGGTGCTTGTTTAATAATTTTATATCGTGCAACAGTTGATCGTGTATCGAGGAGGAATTTGAATGTAGTTTGTATGCCCTACCAACCACACGCATCATAAAGTTTGACACATACCGCTGGACTGGGTGACGTAATAATATAATTACTTTTGTGTCTCTTCCTCCACAAGTTTTAAGTATCCTAAAAGGAGCTTTGCAATGCAACAGATTATCAACACTAGCATCACCACTCATCTTCTTCTTTGGAAATAAATTCAAATACGAGTTAAGCGAGATTTTACCGTATCTCTGAGCAAAATAAAACGTCTCTCCCACCCATTTAGTATTATTCGTGCCAATGCCTCTAAAGTCAGGGTGCATCGATAGATACTGATAAAGGGAAGTGGTCCCTCCTTTCTTTGTGCCAATGATAAATACTTTAGGGCACTTGCTGGTCTTGCCTTTACCGTGACGATATGAATTAGCTTTAGCTGACATCATGAGTGATCCTTCTGGACAACGATGTCTCAAATTAAGTTTTAAATTGGCTCCGTATCGCGTCAGTGTTTCATCAGTGAAGTGGCCTTTCGTTGTAGCATATTGAAGAACAGTGCCATGTGTCTTGTAAGGTCCTTCATTCTTTAAGGAACTCCCTTCATCATTAAACTGAGAATTTAACTTATCGTCGTGTAGATAAAAAGTGAAAGTAGTGATGATCATAATTGCTGCAAACAAGCTTAGAGTGATTAAAAAGAGTCTTCTACGAGCCATCCTAGAGTTAATATCTCTTACATACACGGTAGACATGACTATTGCTGGTTGTACAAATTACATAAAAGGTTTTTCATTACATGACAGTGGCCATCTTTATTTAAGTAGGAGTGGTTTGAGGAGGAGCATAAGAATAGGTGGCCGTGGGTTGCTACTATATTGGAGTAGTGGCAGGGGTGTGTGGGAGTATTACATATCCTGCTTTGGCTGAGAGAGAAAAAGAGATGGGGTCACTTTCTCCAATCCGTTACCTGGTCCCCCTCCTCATTTTGTGTACTATAGTCGCTGGATACGATGAAGCAAACTGTGAGAAAAGATCAAACAAGCTGTACTACACCTCTATATGTGACCTCCCTCTTGGTGGTGAGCTGCATTGCAAAATACAGGAGTAACACAATTTTAATTTTATTAAGAATAATAATAGTTATTGATTATTGGTAATTTATGCATATTTATCTAATATGTGCTATTGTATTTAAATTTTTTTATAATAGCTTCCCTTGATGAATATGACAATGAGACGACTGTTTCGTTAAATCTGACAAAATGTGATAAAGGTGCTGGTGATCAAAAAGGCAGTGGTGTATTTTATGGGATTATGGTCTCACTTTTGGCTGCTCTTTCTTTTGGAAGCATGTTTGTGCCAACAAAAAGGTTCAATACAGGCAAGAACTGAGTAATTACTATTACTATTATCCACTCTTGTTATTACCAATTCTACTCAAAACAACTTTTAGTTTCTTATCAAAATGTTTCATAGCTTTCATTGTAAATATAATGCATTGTTATGGCCTCATCCATCATGCCCTTATATAATCTATCATTACACTTGTTAGGTGATGGGATGTACTTTCAATGGATGATGGGTATTGGTGCTTGGCTGGTTGGGCTAATGATTAACATATTCATACTCAAGCAGCCCCCATTCTTCTCCTTGAGCATGGTATCTGGTGTACTCTGGGCTACTGGTAATATATTCGCTGTACCATCATTCTCTCTCATTGGCATTGGGATCGGTCAGACTATGCAGGGCAATATCAATATGATTGGAGGATGGATCAGTGGAAGGTAATTAAAGTACCGTCAGACTTATCTGTAATTCATCACCTAAGCAGTGCATAATGTGCACAATAGCAAGGAATGCTGTCTGTCATGTGCTTGAACATGTGATGCCTGACTATGTAATGCTAGCTAGAAATCTAGCACTATTAACATTGATTCTCACATTAGGTTTATACTCTGTTCTCACATTGGTAATCATATTGCTAACACTGTTGGTGTTGTATTGGTCATTATTGGGTAAGCCATGCATCTGGTCCTGATTACATTCATTCTCATGAATAATTTTATTTTCAGTACAATATTGCTCTCACTGGTTAAAAGTGACGGTAAGAAAAAGTCCAGGAAGCAACTTTGTTCTTGTATAAAATGGAGTGGAGAAAGGAAGCCATTGCTTCAAGTAAGTTGCTTCTCCATTCACCTCCTCCTTAGTCTCTGTCTCACAGGACGGTGGTATGTCATATGTGTCAGGTGATGTCAATACTGATAAAGAGAATGACGTAAAAAACGAGGAGAAAGGGGACAGTGCTGTCACACAGCATCAAGAAAATGAGCCCAATAACTTTTTAAAGAAATATCAATCAAAGTTAATTGGAAAAGTCATGTAAGTTTAGAAACTACATCGTTATTATTATTGCATCATTTAATTTATTAGTGGACTGTCATTGGCATCCTTTTCTGGTCTCTTTCTTGCCTTCCAATTTCTACCAGTTGAGTTTCTGAGACGCTGTCAGCATGAAGCATTCTCATGCAAAGGTTAGCCTATTATTATTATTATTATTATTATTATTATTATTATTATTATTATTATTATTATTATTATTATTGTATTATTATGTACTCTTACTATAGAGCTGGACTATGCGTTTGGTTTATTTACTGGTATATTGTTGACTAGTACATTCTGGTTCGTACTCTATTGTTTCTGTCTTAAATTGAAACCAAAGATCAATCCAAAGCTAACTGTACCAGCACTGTTTAGTGGAGTCCTATTTGGCATAGGAAATGGTAACAAAAAAATTAATATTTTAATAACATGTTTAAAGGAGAAACTTAAATGTTTATTGTTTTAATTTTAGCTGCCTGGCTTCTGTCTAACGAATTTGTTGGTTTACCAATATCATTCCCCATTATAACAGCAGTTAGTATTACTAATTATAACTGGGCCCTGTACATTATTGTCTTTTTTTCAGGGAGCAAGTATGGTCAGTTGTGTATGGGGAATAGTTGTATTCAGAGAAATAACAGTGAGTTTATGTTGTGAGTCTTTTAGAGTTTTAAAACAGCATTAGATGTGACTATAATTTGACATTATGTCTATATAATGCATGACATGAAGGAATAACAATTCTGCTTTGTTTGAAGCAACATTCAAATTCATTTGGTTGTACAATTTCATGTTCTTTTTATATAGGGTTGGAAAAACTTAGGTTTTTTCCTCTTCTCGTTCTTTTTTATTTTATCCGGTATTATAACAGTTGGGATCTCTTTCAGAGGATGATGTAACAATAAACTTGAAAGAGTGACTGTTATAATCTGTTCTTATTATCATTGTCCAGTCATTCTATGTTTCGCACACCAGTTTGTCCTAATTATTTATTCTATTTTTAATCTACATAATAAAGAAATTAAAATTGAAGAGAGTTGCTGAACTGTAGCTTGTAAAATAGAGAAAACAACTTTCAAAGAAATAATTAATAATAAGAGTGGGATTGACAAAAGTAACACAGAGAGCTGGCTCCTCGTCCAATTCTCATTATAAAAACAAGTATTATTGATCTATCTATTAAACTAGTGATCTACAAAATAAAATCTAAACGTGTTTCTGGCAAAATAAAATATAGTTGTATTTCCACGCATTCTTGATTGTATCAGCATTGGCCACAGTAAGGCTGTCCCAATTTAGCAAAGAACTTGGAGCCTTCAAGTGTTCGCTTGCAACCCTGAGGGAGAGAGAGAGAGAACAAAAGAAAGAAGCAGACAAAAAGAGTGTGAGATAAATTACAAGATAGTGTTTGAAGTAGTTTCTCTTACCCCACAAACGAAACACTGAGGGTGCCAATTGCGATCTAAAGCTTCAACCCAGAGCTCATTAGCACCGATTGTCTGACCACAGCCACTACAAGATACTCCGTATGCTTCAGTAAAGCAATTCTGAGTGGAGAATAATGTTAGAGGGAAGACAAGGGAGACTCACTGAGCAGAAGAGCATCCCGTTCTCCATGTTGAAGCCATCTTGCTGAGAAAGGTTGCAAGAGCACCTTGAACAACGAAAGCATTCTTGATGATAATATCTGTTGGTAGCATTCACCATTGGCTGTAAGAATAAGCAATAATAGTATAATTTATATTTAACAAGTAGGGTCAGTCTTTACCCCAACTATAGCCTTCCTACAGAGAGAGCAAATCTGAGCAACTTGCTTCTCGTAGCAGTTGTTACAGAATATCTTCTCTTCTTCAAACACAAAAGTGCCGCCGCTCAACTGGCAGTGACAGCGATAGCATACAAAGTGTTCAGGATGCCAGACTTTGTTCATTGCCGATGAGTAAGAACCTCTGAAGATAAAACACAATATCAATGATACACACCTCACTGCATGGAAATACACGATATAAACAATCACATTTTTACAGAGCAACACAACATCACAATAATAACTAAAATACATTGTAGGTAATGATGCATTACATTAACACAGAGCTTGAATATGACACATTGCTGCATTAAAGAAGCTCTCTCTCTATTAACACTAACCTTATTGGCTCATGGCAAGCTTCACAGACTCCTTGACGTGAAGTAACTTTTGCTTGAGTTGGTGACTGTTGCTGTGGAGCTGGTGTAGGGACAGCTATTAAGAGAAAGAATAAAGGGCTGATTAACCACACACTACACATGAGCGTACACATACCACCAGAAACTGGAGGAGGACCAGGTCTCTTGACAGGAGGGGGAGCTGGCTTTGCTACTGGAGGGGATCCCTTTGGACCAGCATTTGATGCAACTTTCATTGAAGTGGTTGTGAAATTAGTAGGAGTAGCAGTTGGTGCTATGAAGAGAGAGAAACATTAGATGGACATATATATATAATTATACTGTTAAAGGAGTCCTGTACTTACGAGGTGGTCTCTGTGTTGATTTCCTTGTATTACCATCCTCAATAGTCATGTGCTTCATTGGTTGAGTAGGAGGAGTCACAACAGGACTAGGACTACAGTAATAATAATAATAATAATAATAATGATAATAATAATAATAATAATAATGATAATAATAATAATAATAATAATAATGATAATAATAATAATTGGGCAAAGCTCTTAGTGATGAAGTGCGTCTGTATAGATGAATCAACTGTAGAGTAGTCTGACTATCATTAAAGTTACATGTAAGTAACCAAATAACCTGATCTTTATGATGACGATCGCGTGGCTAGGCAATACGTTTTACATTCTTCTAGTAATTGTGTGAAGTGCGTCTGTATAGACCGACTGAACGTAGGGTCGTCTAACAATTATTAAAGTTAAATAACTTAATCTTTATGATGATCGCGTGGCTAGTAATAACTCCCACTATGCCCTCCCTCCATTATAAGCTCTACCTCAGTGCTGAAGGACTTTCTGATGTGATCTTCTTAAAAGTAGGCGACTGAAATATCGGATCATTTTCACTGGAACTATCAACAAAAGCTATACAAAAATAATGATTATATTTAAAAAACAATAACAAAGATTATAATGATTACTTGGTTTTGGTGGGGTTGTCTGTATCGGCTGAGGTGGCTGCACACGTTGTACAGGCTTTGCAGGAGAAGGTTTTGTAGGAGTGATAGTGGGCGTGGTCTTAACCGGTGTAGTGTTTTTAGGAGGCGTGACAGTTCCTGTAGGTGCCGGTGGGGGAGGGGGCCTGGGACGACTCCCTTGAGATTGTGTGGGTTGTGAAGTGGGTGTGGTTTGGGGAGCAGCAGTAGCAGCAGCAGGAGCATAAGCAGATCTTTGTGGTGCCTCACTAATAAAATGATAGGAATTTCATATAATCAATGATGCTTAAAGAATTAATAAAGATTCATTGCTCTTTTACTTTCGATGTTTATCATCTACGAACATCATCAAATTATGGCTATCAAAACATGTTTTAAGCCATAACTTAATTGAATAGGTAATTCATAATAACATCATAATATAAATTAAATTCCATAAATAATAATTGATTTACTTTGATAAAAGGAGACTGAGACTAGTACCAGTAGTTCTGATCAACTGCTGTGCTTCATGATGTGTCACACCTTGTGTCTCAATATCATTAATCTCTAATATGTAATCCTGCTCACACACACCTGCCTGCTTAGCTTTACCATTAGGATTTAACTGAGAGAGAGAGAAAGAGGGGGAGAGAGAAAGAGAAAGAGGGGGAGAGACAGAGAGAAAGAGGGGAAGAGACAGAGAAAGAGGGGGAGAGACAGAGATACAGTGATTATTTTAAAGGGTAGTATGACAAATATTCAGTAACGTGCGATTGCTGTGTTGTGGCTTGTAAGAGAGATTAAGGAAAGAACAATAACAACATGTATGTTTCCTTTCTTGAATAGGAAATGCTATCAAAACTACATTATTCATGTTTCTGATACACATGGATAATAATAATCATAAAAACGATTATAAACTATCATAGTAGCTTGTAGCCAATAATTACAAATAGCTGTCTAGCCTAGTTCTTATTAAACAAAATTTTCACTAAAAAGTGTTAAAATGGCCAACAAACATGTTGACAAATTAAAGCAAAAATGATCAAATTAATTAATACTATACAAGGACACATCTGGATCTTCAAATGACCAATTACAATACATGTTTCTTCATAAATAGTAAATCAAGCCGGTATCGCATTTAACTATGTTTATTAATGACGCCTAATGAAGTAGTAAAGAAACAAAATAAGAGAAAGCATACCTCAGATATTATTACCATATAAGGCAAAATATCTGTGTGCACTTGTCAGTATGCATTGGGAATTATAATGTACATATGTAACATGAGTGTGTGTGTGTGTTTGTGAGTGGGTATTCATAATGTGAGTTTGCATTGACTAATAACATTCTCTGAGTATACAGCTGTTTCCCATGACAATAGCAATGGAAACACAGCATTATTACTATACCTGAACTATAAAACATGACATAGTACAAGAATTAATAATTAAAGGAATTAAATACATGTATAGTATGCTTGTAATACATGTCACTCCTCTCATTTGTGGATTGTTCCTATGTAATCACTAGCTGATTGGCAGCGGATTGGCTCTCATTGATGTAGCAACAGGAATAGACAAACCAATCGAAATTTAATTCAAAACACACTCACTCACAAAAATGACACAATCTATATATATATTATACATATACAACTACTGCATTGAAATTGTGTACATGTGAACAATGTACATATACATAAATAAATTAATGTATTTATCCTTATTCATCATATAAAGTAGGAGGATTTGTTTGTTTATCATTTCACTGTTGTGGTCTGTTTTAAATACCTTGGATACTTGCAGATGAGATCCAAAATCCTTGCCTCCAGCGAGAGTAAAACCCCAAGGACCACCGCCGGAGAGAGTTATCTTCCTAGCCATAGTACAGCACAGGTCCAAGGACTCACTGATAAGACACTAATTGACTGCAGCAGAGACTCTTAAGAATGTGTTGTTGGCGAGGTTGTTGGTTGTTATCGTATACACCAGATAGCCAGAAATGGACGATTGTAAATGTAGGTGTGGTCAATATGGGCTGGATCCATGGATCGCCATCACGTGATGCACATTAGAATATACGATGTTTTACTATTTTCAGTAAATAAAATTACTTATCCACGTGGTAAAGTGATGGAGAGTCTGAGGATAAACAGAGCTTATGCTGAAGCTTATGAGAAGAGGAAGAAAGCTGAAGAGCTCAGTAGATGTAAACTTATCACAATAGAGTTTTCTTTATTTTTAAAAATTTTATTAGTAAAGGATAAGTATGGGAGTGATGCTGAGCTGGAGTCAAGCAGTAGCTCTGAAGATGAAGATGACAATGCTATGGTAAGATGTACATAACATTGGGGGATTTTTATTTAATATGACAATTATTAATCACCGTATAATTTACTATTGTTTATTGGTATTAAAAAGACGGATATAAGATAGAAATAATATAAATTGTCTATTGATTTTATTGTTAGGGGATTACTAGTAGGAATAGGAAGGACTTTTTAAAGATTTTATCCCTCGTAAAAGATAAAGACCCACGAATATACGACAAGGAGGTTGAACTGTTAAAAGAAGGTGATTAGTTATTTATTTGTTGATATTCCAGTCATTATATAAACTGTAGAATCTGCTGACAGCTCTCCTGAAGATAGTGATTTAAAGACTACCTCCTCCAAGCCCACTTATCTGAGAGATTACGAGAGGGAGAGAGTACTCAAGTCGGCCAGAGGAGTACAGAGTGATAGTGAGGAAGAGGAGGAGTCCCCCTCGTCCAACTTATCAAAGGACAAGTTGCTTTATAATGAGGAGCAGCACACATTAAAGAAGGAGTGAGTTAATAGTGTGATATCTGGGAGGGGCCCCATGTGCCTAACACTAATTTGCCTCTCGCCCCTTTCTGATGCACATATCCATCAAAAAATTATAAAAATGAAAAATTCTCTTATGACAAATTATTTGTACTTGCTTTAGAATGAAGTTTTTTATTTTGTTTCGGTAATATATAGTTTGCTTGCAGCTGCTTCATCAGAAGATACAGACAATTTGCTTACTGTTAGAGTCAAATCAAAAGAGGAAAAGGTAAAACAATCACACAATATATAAGTAATTTAGTACTGGTATGATTACATGTAATGTGTGATTTATTTATATGCTCTAGGAGGAAGAAGAAGAAGACTACATAAAATGGCTGAAAGGCCAAGAGGTTGAGCTAGGAACTGATGAAGCAAAAGACATGAAGACACTACAAAACTATTGGAACAATCCTGACATAGACCCAGGGGAGGCCTTCCTCCGGGACTATATACTTAATAGTATGTGGGTGGATAAGGATCGGATCAGGTTAGTGGGTGTAGTCTTTGTATTAATGGGTGGAGTCTTGTTAATAGAGTACCGACTTTTGACGAAGTTGTCGAAGAAGATGAAGTGTTGGTGTCTGAAGTAAGGTCGTCTTTATTTTTGATGGTTTTCATAATCTTGTTTTTTGATCCTGTATTTGTAGGACGAAGAAGAGTTAGATGAACAAGATGATTTTGAGAAGACGTATAACTTCAGATTTGAAGAACCAGGTGGTAGCAATGTAAGCCCACAAATGCTGATATTATAGTTATATCAGAAAATTGCTAATTTTTGGGCTATTAGTTTATTTTTCAGACACCCACACAAACATTAATTTTGGTTTCATTGCATTTGTCGTACTGTTACTTGTATTTTGTAGATTGTGAGTTATCCTCGAAGCATTCCAAATTCTGTACGGGCAAAGAACGAAAAAAGGATTGAGAAGAGAAAAGCAAGAGAAGATAGGAAGCAGCTGGTGTGTTGGTTTTATTTGGTGTTTTGTGTTAGAATGATTTCTTTTGTAATGTTCTGTACAACCGTACATGTATTATGGTTCATAAAGGTGTTCTATCTGTAGGAGAAGCAGCAAAAGCAAGAAGAATTGAAGAGGCTTAAGAACCTGAAGAGACAAGAGATTCTTGCTAAACTAGACAAACTAAAAGGTAGTGGCTTGTTTGTTTAATGGATCATTATGTATTTTTGTCAAACAGAATTAACGGGTAATCCAAGCGTTGGTTTTACTGAGGAAGATATTGATGGGGACTTTGATCCTTCGAAATACGATGAAATAATGCAGAAGGTCTTCAACAATGAATATTACAATGATCCTGCTGGAGGAGAAGATGTGGAAAAACCAGTTTTCAGTGATAGTGAAGAAGGTACAGATTGTGCTATGAATTGTTATTGTATTTCGGTCATTCGGTGATTAATTTTTTGCTATTAACACGTTTGTAAGTAATTTGATGTATTTATACTATTTTTTTTGTCACAGAAGAGAATTGGGATGAATGGATACCCCCAGAGAATGATGATCATGATGATGGTCCGCATTGTGAGGATCCTGACTTTAATGTATGTTAAACAAGCTCTGTACTGGTAAATCATTACTCACATATGATTAGATGGATGCCGATTTTCCTCAAGAAGAGGTCAAAATGTCGAAAAGGAAAAGGAAACGTGGCTCAATGTTCTCTCGTGCCCTCAAGAAAAAGAAGCCTCAGTTTGAGCCGGAAGAGAAGTCTTTTGAGGAATATTTTGACGAATATTACAAACTAGATTACGAGGATGTTATTGGGGATTTGCCATGTCGGTTTCACTATAGAACTGTTGAGCCCAATGATTACGGATTGACTACCGAAGAGGTGTGGGATAACTATAGTTACCTTAACACAATGAGTCTCACTGATAAATATTTATGATAGATACTGACTTGTGAAGACAAGGAGCTTAATAAGTGGGCATCTCTCAAGAAGCTAGTGAAATATAGGTAAGAATGAATGGGTAGACTTTGTACTTATGCAAGTATGACCTTGTTATAAATTTTGATCTGGCAATGACAGCTACATGTATTACTATAGGTGTGATGATTTGTGGTAGTATAGGTGTATAGTAAATATTGGACATACTACTGGCCAAATTGAGTCTTTATTAGTAACTTATTAGTGGATGTTAGTACGAGTTTTTGCTTATGCTTGTAGAACTAAGGAAGAGGAGAAGAGTGAAATTAAGAAATATCGTAAGAAGGCAGCCAACATTCAAAGAAAGGAACAGATTCTAATCAGCTTGAAAGAGTTAGTTTGTGAAAGATATGATTTGTTTATAATTGAGTCTAGTTCTGTAGAGGAAGGGAAGGTGAAGAAAAAGAAGCAGAGAGATAAGAAAAGTGAAGAGCCTCAGCCTGATGTACAAAACCCTAAGAAAAAGAAAAAGAAGAAAAGAAAGAACACACTGGCATCTCTTAGTGAGAATAGACTGGCAGCCTATGGACTTACACTTGATGCTAAAAAGAGAACAAAAAAATGAATCTTTTTTCCACAATATTATAACATTTTCTAAGAAAATTATAATAAAAATAAGCACATGCAGAACTAATTATGAATTAGTAATAATTTATGCTGCTATGCAACTATTTTTATTTTATAGGTACGTATCCTTTTTTGGAGATTTTCTTGTCCAGAGCCTTTACTATTGTAGCGATAAGCAATGGGACACCAATGATAGCAATGACCACCAGCCAAACATTAAAGAGAAGAATGAAATGGATGTTTGCAAATACGATGAAAGCTCCTGTGAGAATTAACATCAAATTACTTCCAATGAGATGAGCTTTGCTTACGAGCTCAAGGAAGACACAGAACAGAGTTACTAGTAGAAATAGATCAAAGAGAATAGCAAACACTACAAAAGGAGGATTGCACAAAGGATAGTATATCTTTGCTTTTAGTGTCCCACCGGTTCTCCTCCTAATAACGTCTTGTTTTATCGTTGGGTATGATACAGTTTTTAAGAACTCTTCAAGACTTATCTTGTCGTCTTTGAAAACTTCGCTCGAGATATCTGGTATTTGACAGCATTCCATCATATCGATGAAGATTTGTAGCAATAACTGTTGAAACCAATAGTAGTTGATGATAAAGAACAAGATTATGCTCAGTATGGAAGCAGTCCATCCACAGAAAACGATAATCCATAGATTAGCCGAGACGTTGTCGTGACTCATACACAATCCTACAGATAGCAATATAAGACTAACGACTACTGACTCTTCTATAACATGAAAGAACAGCCTCAAGAAGAAGATGGTGTACAAGTTAATTCCATTCCTGTCTCCACTGATGAGTGCTAGTCCCCTCAGTTTCAGTAATGCTACCAGGACCATTACTGACCTTAATATGTGTATTGAGAGCATGTATGTTGACAATACTACCAGGAGTCCTATTGTGAACACATTAAGCTCGGTTGGGGTGCTGCTGGTAAAGAGCTCAAAGATACACGTAACTAGTAAAGGATACATGAGAATTTCAGCACAGAGTAAGCGAAGGAACTCATACCACCTGCCATAGTAATCAGAGTATTGGCAACGACACTGAAAACTTGCATTGGCTTCCATGTTTTTGTCACATGTTTTCAATTTCGATCCATATAAGAGGTATCCATCTATGACTATGAAGAAGAACGCAAGAATTGATGAAATGATGCTTAAAGCAGCAAACCCATCTGATGGTTTTTCGTGAATATTGACAAATGAGAGGATCATGAGAGCAAGTAAGGTTAATACATTGGCTATGAACCATGGTGTCTTTAGCTTTGGCAGGATAGGCAGCAAGTGTAGCTGGAATAACTTGCATCCGTAGTTTTGACCTTTCTTCAAGTCGTTTGAACATTGGGGAAGTTTAAAGGTAGAGCCTAATGGCATCAGTGGTGATGATGGCGTCTGCTCTTCTCCTCCTTCTTCTTTGCTCCTTTTTGTTTTGACTTGATCAACCATAGTTCTAAGTGATGCCACTATCTGCTTCTTTGCTTTTGGCTCTATTCTATTGATACAAATAATAATATGATGACATACTACTGCAGTGCTAATGAATTGGCATGATGAAGTTTCTTTTGTTAATGAGTACAATTGCACATACAATACAGCTTACCTGACACTTGAAATTTTCTTTTCCTATATTAGACAAGCATGATAATAGTAAGTTCATCTTTTAGTGCATTAAACTTCACCTACCAAAGCAAATTGAGAGAGTCCAGACTTCTTTGAGGCTGACCTCTTCCCAAAATATATAGTTTTCCCCTTTTTCTCTTCTTCCCCATCAATTTTATGTTCTATAATTATCATTATGAAGAAGGCAATTCATAAATTAAAACATGCACTATCTATACCTTCCAGTATGATAATAGACATTGAAGTTCTCTTGGCCTCAGATAAAACATGTCTTGATACTTTAGAAGTAACATTTCCTCTCTTTGGTGAGGGTGTAGCTTGCTTCTCATCCTCATCAGATGAAGAAGTGATATGCAACTCTTGTACCTCTGATTCTGAGTCTTCTTCCATTGTTCCTATAACAGTGTAGCCAGTGAGCATCAAGTAGATGGAAGGGGAGGAGTAGGATATCCACAATAATATAGAACTGATGTAGTAATAATGACTGACTGCCAAGAGTAGTTGAGTATTGTGTACTCTTGGAAAGACACAGTAATTGAAATTATAGTGTCACATACATGACAGCATTTTTTATATTGATAGGTACCTATAATGATGAAAGCTGCGTTGTGAATTTGAGCAAGAAGATCACTAGTTGCATTAGCACCATGACTATATCAATCAAGACATGAGGTAAAAGTTTAATAGACATACATGTACAATAAAATGAACATTATTATAATGTATAGTAGAAATATAGAATACTAAACTAATGGAATTTGTTCTTCAGTTTTATCTCTTTTCCTTCTGCATTTTCTTATGCCCACGACAATACCAGCTACTATGAACACCGGAGACCCTAATATTAGTAACAAGAATCCAGACAGAATTATGGCCACCCATAGATTAATGACAAGGATGACATGAAAGTTGCCGATGAGGACCATTGCAATCGTAGCCACCATAGCTACACCAGTCGATGTCGTTAAGTCAATCACTCGAATGTTGTGATGCTCATCGAAGTCTAACAAAAGACTAGCAACGAATCCACCCACCACAGAATTATAGAAGAAAGCATATAGCAGGAACACTGGTACTTTCAGTGGATACACAATTTTAGCTAAAGCATTCGTATTTTTGTTCCTTTCTGTCGCTTCTTCTTTGACTTCCTTGTATTTGACGTTTTGTAATATTTTCTCTGATTTTTCCTTGGCTTCCTCTTTTATTGTCCCTCCTCCCTCGAAAACAGCTTGTGCAAAGTCAGGCTCCTCTAGTAAGCCAATCATATCAATGAACATACCAAGAGAGAAGTTCTGTATCCAATAATAATTAACGATAAAGTATGAGACGACCCCCATAAAGGGAATGAGCCATCCGCCGACTATGACTGCCCAAAGGAAAGGCGATGCTCTGTAAACTCCCCCATTTATTTTGTTACTGCTATTCTCTTGCCATATTTTAACGCCGACAGACATTATGCAGAGCAAATGAACAAATATTTGACCGATCACATGAAAGAGAAAGCGTACGACGACGTGAGTATAACTGCTGTCGTTATTAGTCTTTTCTGTGAGTCCTTGTAGACTACGTATTGTTAGTATCGACATTACCGTACGACCTATGTACACCGAGAGAACAAGATAGAAGCTTCCTACGATGAACATGCTGAAACCGACTCTCCCTTGCTCGTTGGTTGGGCGGAAACTACCTCCTTCTAACAAGTCAAATAGGTCAAGGACTACCAAAGGATATATCAGCAGCTCACCAAGAACAGTCCTAAATAACTCAAACCATTTATTGGCAAAATCTAATGTTTTGCGCGATACACGAAAACGAGAACATTTCCTTTTATTCCCTTCTTCTGTTTCTTTCTCTTTTTCTTCCTCCTCCTCCTTTTCTTCCTCCTCTTCCTCTTCCTCCTTTTCCTCCTCCTCGATCCCACGACACCATCGATAAAACATCTTACAGGTTGTAAACTCATAGAAGTACAAGAAACCATCAATGAGAGCCAATAGTGTGTTGACTGATGCCAGACAGATGTAAATGATGTTGAATGTCATATTTGACGTTACTTGCATGTTAACTAGTGAGAATATTAGCTGAAACACTGTGATTGCCAGCTCTATGAACACCCAGAGGTCTCCGATAATTTTTGGAATGCCAGGTAGAAGAAAGTTTGTCGATATAGCGTTGCCAATTTTGGTACCGCCCCTGAGAGTGGGGGATAGTGGAGTAGCTTCCATTATTGCTGGGTACTGTACAAAACTTGCAGTAGGATCGGATAAGTTTCTGAATATTTTAGTTGTCACAGGAAGGTTCTTGTATTCTTCTTCGCTTTCAATTAAGGAATAGCCTTCAAACCCCTCGGTCATTTTACTGATTTGCTTTATGGTTTTTTTAAGTGCCGTGGTGCTTCTCTTTCGAACAGTTGGTGCCATAGTCTCAAAGCTAGCAGGAAAAATAAAGCATAATTTAATATCATGAAGTACAAATTCATTCCTAACTCATTTACATATTATGCTCTTACCTTTGTGGCTTCTCCTTAGCATTCTTCACTGGTGTTACAGGTTTTCTTTGAGGAGATTTAGACAATCGAATGATTGAACCACTTCTTGACCTTCTTGGTACTGAAAGAGTTAGACTTTTGCTATCATCATCATCATCGTCGTCATCATCATCATCATCAAACTTATCTATACATATAATGAAAGAGGTTAATGTGTTTTGTGTAGTATATCTCTGCTTTACCTCCAAAGGAAATCTTTTGAGTTGGGGTGGCATTTTCATCATCTGTCTCTTCTGCTCCTTCTTCCATCATATAGAATGACTTTTGTTGAAGTATTTCTTTCTTGGAGAGTTTCTTAATCTTTTTGACTGGTAGTGTAGGTGCTTCTGCACCGCTTCCTTGTCCTTCTTCATCTGATTCTCCTTCACTCCTGCCCTTGCTGTCACTATCAGACATTATGCACTGGACTGACTTGCTTTGCTTTCAATATGACTAGTGATCCAGCAAACTACTACAGTTTGGCAGGATTTCCTAATTGTTCTATTAATGTACCATTTTTGTATTATGTGATATTGTTCTTTATAAAAGCCCTTGGGTGTAGTAGAAGGGAAAGCTCAGAAAAATTAAAATAAGACAGAAAGAGGAAATAAGAGAAAGACAAAATAGTTTCCTAGATAGGCAATCTACTACCTTTTAAACATTTTGGCATAGCAATAGAGTAATGATGAATGGTAGTTGCAGAAAGACAATAACAAGGAAAATGCATATCATTATAACATTATTCACTAGCTAAAAGACGAATGTAATGAGTATGTAATGAATATAAGCTGATTACAATTAAAATTAGATTTTTTAGAATTTTTAAATCGCTCAAAAATTTTTGAAATGGCTGTAACTCAAAAAATTGGACTCGGAATCAGCTCAAACTTGCTATACAGCATAAGTACATCAATATGTATCAGAAAATGTAATAAAAATTGGTGGTGATTTCGGAGCCATTTTTTGGAAAAAACCATGGGCTACAGTACAGGGTATTTTTCCAAAATTTGGAGGTTTTTAAAATGTTCATAACTCGAAAAATTAAAATCGAAATCAGCTCAAACTTTCTACACAGCATAAATACATCAGTATGTATCAGAAAATGTAATAAAAATTGGTGGTGATTTCGGAGCCATTTTTTGGAAAAAACCATGGGCTATAGTACAGGGTATTTTTCCAAAATTTGGAGGTTTTAAAAATGTTCATAACTCGAAAAATTAAAATCGAAATCAGCTCAAACTTTCTACACAGCATAAATACATCAGTATGTATCAGAAAATGTAATAAAAATTGGTGGTGATTTTGGAGCCATTTTTTGGAAAAAACCATGGGCTATAGTACAGAGTATTTTTCCAAAATTTGGAGGTTTTTAAAATGTTCATAACTCGAAAAATTAAAATCGAAATCAGCTCAAACTTTCTACACAGCATAAATACATCAGTATGTATCAGAAAATGTAATAAAAATTGATGGTGATTTCGGAGCCATTTTTTGGAAAAAACCATAGGCTATAGTACAGGGTATTTTTCCAAAATTTGGAGGTTTTAAAAATGTTCATAACTCGAAAAATTAAAATCGGAATCAGCTCAAACTTTCTACACAGCATAAGTACATCAGTATGTATCAGAAAATGTAATTAAAATTGGTGATAATTTCGGAGCCATTCTTTGGAAAAAACCATGGGCTATATATAGTACAGGGTATTTCTCCAACATTTGGAGTTTTTTTTAATTGTCATAACTCGAAAAATTGAAGTCGGAATAAGCTCAAACTTTCTACACAGCATAACTACATCAGTATGTATCAGAAAATGTAATAAAAATTGGTGATAATTTTGGAGCCATTTTTTGGAAAAAACCATGGGCTATAGTACAGAGTATTTCTCCAAAATTTGGAGTTTTTTAAAATTGTCATAACTTGAAAAATTGAAGTCGGAATTGGCTCAAACAATAATGACTTTGAAATACTTCTATTTTTCTGATACATTATTACATGTTTTTTGCTGTTTTTTTAATCATAAAATAATTTTTGTTATTATAAAACAAAATGCATAGTAGATAGTTAGAATAATAATAATAATAATAATTAACGTAATTGTGGAGGATGTCTGTATGGTGGGAGTGCATTAGGATGTGAAGGTCCTGATATTTCAACAAAAGGAAATTGTAGAGCTTCGTCCGTTAAACTAACTGTGTCATGTTCGGGTATAGTAGTGAATGTATCATCCAGTCCTTCTGATTCAGTGTTCATGAGAGAATGATAGCCACTGCCTCTTAATCTTTCTGCTAGTATCGTAGGTCTCCTTGAGCGAGAGAGACTCTCTGACTCGTCCAGGAATACTATCGGTTTTCTATTTAATAGGATCTTCTGCTCCTCGTTCAGGATGTAATTTCTTTCCATTCGCCTCCAGCGATAAGTAATGAATACAACTAAACAGAGTACCAGTAGTATGCAAGCTAGTACTACCAATGGGAGTACAACAGCTAGAAAGATCAGTTGTTCTGAGATTGGGTCATCTATTATTCCGATTGTTGGTTGTATTGTCTCATAAGTTCCTACTGATCTATTGCATGTGCCAAAAACTTTTAGGGATCCTATTGGTATGTACGGGTTTATTTGAGTCTTAAATGCATCAGTATAGTTTCTGCTATGATATATGGAATTGACAAAATTATTGAATTCCTTGCAGTCGTCACTTCTAATTGATATATTGGTATAAGAGATTACAACACTTCCACTGGTGAGACTGTAAACGTAAATATCATTTGGATCCGACATCCCAAGTTTTGTAATGAGATCCACTTTAGCTCTAACGTTTTCATTAAAAGTTGTAAAATTCTCATCTACTGACACCTGAATGTAATTTTCGAGTAATAGGCCGTGTCTTGGGTTTACGCTAACAGTTATAATCTCAGATGCAAACCGACCATTACGATCGTATGCCCTTATCTCAATGTTATACCTTGTGATGTAGTGGCCAATAATTTCCGTTGATAAGGGAAGACCAATGATTGCATTTTGATTCATAATCCCAATCCAATTGACTTCACTTTGTAGCCTTAGAGTCAAATTATAGCCATCTTCTATATCATAGAACGTATCATCTGGTATGCTATGACTAAAAACTGTACCCTCTTGGACGAGGAGTGCACCTATTGGATTGAGTAACAGTGGCCTATTGTTGGTGGGGGATGGGGAAGGAGCCTCTGATGACGAAGTAATTGTTGGTGAAAATATTTTTGTACTACTTGGAGAAATTTCTACTAACGAAGTTACTTTAGTAAGACTTGTTGAAAATAGGAATGAAGAATCGAATGAAGGCTCTGTGATGGTGGAGGTTACGTCTAATGTGATACTTGTTGAGCTTTCTTCAATGAATGATGACACTATGACTGAAAGAAGTGTTGATGAAGGACTAATTGACGCAGAAAGTGACATTGATTCTTCAGTGCTTGGTGGCAGAAAAGTGGAAAATTCAGAGCCAGATGTAATTTTACTACTAGTGACAGGTGATGACACTATTGTACTGGTAGACTCAGAAGGAGGAAGACTTCTTGTCATGTCAATTGAAGGTGATTGAAAACTGGTACTCTCACTTACAAATGGCGTAAAAAAACTTTCAGTTATAAACTCAGAAGATGATTCAAATGGTATTTCGCTAGTACTACTAAATAATTCTGAAGTAATACTTGCGAAAGGTGGCCCATGTGTACTGCTAGGTGTAGGAGTCTGTGTAGATGGTGGTGAAGGAACTATACTGCTAATATCCATTGAGAAAGATTCTGTCACTACACTGCTACTCAGATCTCCAAAACTGCTGGAGGGAAATTTATTGGTAGTGCTAGTGCTACTAATGTATATGCTTGTTACAGCAGTAAAAGATTCTCCTATGCTTGGAACAGTAGTAAAAGGTTCTTCTTCTATACTTGAAGTTGGTAGCAGTTCACTAATAATCTCACTGCTACTGCTAAATAGTAAAATCAAGCTAGACTCAAATTCACTACTGCTAGTAATTTCATCACTACTACTGAGCAAAAAGCTTGGCGTTGATGAAAACTCATCGGTTGGACTTGGAATGGGTGTGAAATCTTCACTGGGTGATGCTATAGGTGAAATAAAAGATGACGTTTGTAGAATGCTAGTTGGGTCATCAAACATGATGTCACTGCTGCTAGATGGTTCTATAAAGCTCGGAGTAGGTGATTCAAATGTACCACTACTACTACTAATAGGTGTTTCAAATATAATTTCACTACTACTGCTATCAGGGAATAAAGTTGGAGAAGGAGACTCAAATAGCTCACTAACTGATTCTAGAATAAATGACACACTACTGGTCTCAGGTAGTAATGAGCTTAAAGTAGGAGATTCAAATATCATACTACTACTGGTCTCAGGTAGCAATATGCTTGGAGTAGGAGATTCGAATGGCATACTACTACTGGTCTCAGGTAATAATATGCTTGGAGTAGAATATTCAAATATCATACTACTACTGGTCTCAGGTAGCAATATGCTTGGAGTAGGAGATTCGAATGGCATACTACTACTGGTCTCAGGTAATAATATGCTTGGAGTAGGATATTCAAATATCATACTACTACTGGTCTCAGGTAATAATATGCTTGGAGTAGGATATTCAAATATCATACTACTACTGGTCTCAGGTAATAATATGCTTGGAGTAGGAGATTCAAATATGCTAGTGCTAAATGAATCCATGCTACTGGAAAGTAATTGTGAGGAGGAAAGATAAAAATCACTACTGCTTGTAATAATGCTGGAGGATACTACACTAGTTGGCTCTAGGAGGCTTGAAGTTGGGCTATCAAATATGAATGTACTAGCAGTAATTTCTGTAAAGCTTGACATTATAAAGTCACTGCTACTTGATAAAATTTCTGTAGGAATAGAAAGGGTTGGCTCAGCACTGCTTGGTAATGGATCGGTCATTGAAATTTCTCCTAATGAAGTTGAAGATGGAAAAGGAAAGTCACTGCTAGTTGTCATTATGGGGTCTATAATACTCGAGCTTGAAATGAAATCAGAATATGAAGACATATTCATCATGAGCGAAGAGAACTCATCGCTTATCAATGAACTTGATGAATGGAGGACAGTTGTTGTTGGTGATATGAAGAGGTCAGGAGATGATGACTCTATTATACTCAGCGATGGGAAATCATCGCTTATCAATGAACTTGATGAATGGAGGACAGTTGTTGTTGGTGATATGAAGAGGTCAGGAGATGATGACTCTATTATACTCAGCGATGGGAAATCATCGCTTATCAATGAACTTGATGAATGGAGGACAGTTGTTGTTGGTGATATGAAGAGGTCAGGAGATGATGACTCTATTATACTCAGCGATGGGAAATCATCGCTTATCAATGAACTTGATGAATGGAGGACAGTTGTTGTTGGTGATATGAAGAGGTCAGGAGATGATGACTCTATTATACTCAGTGATGGGGAATCATCACTCGTTGCAATTTCTGAAGTGACAATTAAGATTGGTAGGCTTGTTACTCGACTGGGAAAAGGGACTATAGAAGAAGTCAAGAATGGGATAGACTCTGTCATAAATTCATCACTACTTGTAGTGGGATCATCTGGTGGCACTTGTCTTCTCACTCGTCTTGGCGATACAGCGTCATGATAATTTGCATTAGAACTTGTAATGGACCATGCTTGCAATGCTAGAGTGTTATTGAGTATAGTTGCATTGAGAATCCCTTCCAGCAATTGCACTGCATCTTGTATGATAATTGGATATAAGTTAGAGCCATCACAATGAATGAGGAGTGATAGTGTTATCGTATTAGCCATTGGATTGCCTACTCTGTCCTCTGCTATGATGAATGCCATTGCATTATCATTTTCTGCATAGAGTGTGAGTTGAAGCGGGCACACTGCCAATAACTGACTGACTGATAATATAATTGATATCCTTTCTGTAGGACTCGTACTGATGATATCGCAATTAATATGGACGCTAGCTTGAACAGTAGAAGAACCACTGGGACATTGAAGAGGATACAAAGAGAAGCCCTCACTGCAGAAACTCGTCCAAGGGACTTCATTCCTAAAAGCCTCAATATTAGCGATATTGGATTCATCCATTGCTTGAAGGGAAGAGGATGAAAGAGTAGTTGTTGGTAGTACTTCAATGCTAAAGATCTCTTGACTGGTGACCCAGTCATCTTCATCCAGGTATACATTGACTGATATATAAACTGTATCGATATCCTCCTGTAGTGGTATCCCATAGAATGTTCTTGTCAAGGAGTCAAATGATAGCCAAGGTGGTAAACTCTGCTGATTTTGCCTGGATACCTAGTAAAGAATACTTGAATATAATAATAACATCATAATAGACTTACTTTAATATCACTGATATTTCCATTGTAAGCTCCTCTGGGTATTTCAAATATGAAAATTTTCCCTATGGTTGCTGTAGTGTCTGGTATTTTACGCTGAGTCGGTATTGACAGTAAAATTGCATCTATTTTGTCAGAGTCGGTTGCTTGAAGCGGTGTAGCAAGTAATAGCACTGTAAGTAGCAAACATGCAGATAAATAATAAAAGTGAAGTGGTCTGTGGTACGAATACGAGTGTGTGGTACTGCATTGCTTCGAATGTCTATTTGATGGACGAGGTGTAGAGTTGCTTTTCATTACAGATTGTGTATCTGATGCTCCTAAAGTTACAGGACTGGTTTGAATTTCTCCAGCTGTTTCTGCAGCATACTGCCTGTTCCAATCATTGCTAGTGCTGCAATATTCAGTAGATGCACTGGAAAGACTGCTGGAACTCACTAACAGAATGGAAAAGGTCATTAGTAGCTGGGAAGGCACAATGTACTTACTTACTCTTCGTTCCTGCAAGCAAACAACTGAGCTACGCGTAATCAGCTACGCCCCTTTTTGCAGAGACAACAAGGTGTGTTGCTAAGTAACACTGTTATTCATTGGCCCACACATAGCTGTGCGTCAAATTATGAATAATGTATGAAAAACTTGCAAGCTATGCTTGCAATGAGGTTTTGTGGACTGCGTTACTGCAAAAAATACAACTAGGTAATATCTGTGATAGAGGTATAGAAGCTAGGTAGCTCGCGAGCAAAAATTTAGCTCTCTGTCAGATGGTCACACCCATTTAATTAGTTAAGCTTCCTGCCTGATCACGTGACTGTAATGCAAACAGATTGCATTTATTACTGTGGTGATCTTCTGTTGTGTAGTGTTCTTTTTTGATTTATTGTACAAGAGATAAATCATTCCTTCAGGAGAAATAGAATAATGGAGTCGTCTGATAAAAACTGTACTGATAATCAAGAAAAAGAATACAAGAATGATAATAATGATGATGATGATGTTCATCATATGGAAGGAGTCAATGAAACAACATGTCTGCCATTGGAACAGGACTCAGAGGAGATGAAGGAAGCAGAGAAGGCTGATAGTGCAAAAGACACTGATGTTACTAACAATTCAAATAGTTCAGTACAAGGTGAACAAGTACTGTGTATGTTGAATCTTATGCCAAGGAAGAGGATCAGAGAAGAGAGTCAAGACACTGATGTACTGGAGGAGTGGAAAGCAAAGCAAGTAAAAGAAGACATAGGCCAGACAGGTGTGATAGATTATTTAGTCATATGATGATAATAATAATAATAATAATTGGTATTAATAGAGGGTTCTAATGTGACTCCACCTCCAGCGGTCTCCGCCTCTCCGTCTAAAGAATCCAATACCCATCCCTCTTCACTATCACAACTCTTTAAAAAAGGTTTTCACAAACGCATAGCGCCTATTACATTATCTGTATGCTAATGATAATATATGCATGGAGTGGGAATTACATGTAGTACACTGCAGGTTGTATTGTGTTTATTGCTTACATGCTACATGTACATCTAGTTTCTTTTAAGTTTTTTTTGTGACAAAAATTTCGGTACTTTTAATGTGATATAATTATGATGGATGTGTATGCGCATTATGATGATGTTTTTTTTGGTACAGATCCAGATTTCGTTTTATCTTTATTGTCAAAAGCTGTATCAATGGACTCTTTATCACTTCTCCTTAAGACTGAGCACCAGAATAATGCAGCCCAGCTCAAGAATCTAAAGGAAAAAGTTGAAAGTAAGTATGTCAGGCTCACAGTATATAGCTCAGAACTAAAGTGGTTTTAGTCATGCCTGTGGGCCGTGGGTCATTTAAAATATTTAATTCTTAGATCTGAAAACTTCCCTTGTACAAATTATGTAGAAAGTTTCAGTCAATTACAAGGTTATGAGCAAATGAAAAAATGCCTATTGTTACATTGTTAATACATATCAGTGCCATTTACTGAATTACTATGAGCATTTGGATACTTCCTATTGTAGACTAGTCTATTATCTAGAGTACATGATAAAGAGGGCATACTCTTTGTATTGTGTACACACATACACAACCTTTATTTCCTTTCTCTCCTTCCCTTCTTTTATACAGAGGCTCATAGTGTGCTAAGTCAATGTGCTGGTCGTAGAGAGTTTTTGCTGAAATCAGTTGATGAGGTGACTAAAGATATACAAGCAAAGCGATCGCAACTTGCTGCAACCAGAGAAGAACTCCGTGAGATGAGCATGCACGAAGGCCAAGTCAAGCAAAAACGAGACTTGGCCTCACAAAAGTGTTTGGATCTTCGGAAGAAAGTCCGCGCTTGCCGTGATACTGTGCAGCAGCTGCAGGGCTTGTACGGGAAGAAGAGAAAGAGCAGCGAAAAGACCTTTAAGACTCGTACAGTGGAGACATGATCCATCTACTATCAGACATATGATGAGAGTTAACCAATTATTATTATTTTTGTCCAATAAAATCAGTTTTATTAAAAGGATGCATGCATTCTCTATGTGTGGGTAGTGCTCGGTAAATTAAGCATCGATAGTATATATAGTCCAGTGGCTTCCTTTTTTTAAAGGTGAAGCATAAGTTCGAGACAAGAACAAAACTCAAAGGGAATGGCAGAAGCTAAGATAGCAGCTCATCAAGCTGCTCTTAGTAAGAGCGCCGTCATAAAGGAAGGCTATCTTGTCAAAAAGGTGAGAGAAAATACCTCAGGTCCCCAACCTACTCCTTCAAACCATGTTTTCAGGGTCACATAAGACACAACTGGAGAACAAGATGGTTCATACTCAACAAGACTTCACTTATCTACTACAAGAATAGAGAGGTAAGCTAAATTTTGTGAAAGGAGTGGTCTAAACTCAGTCAGACAGTTTTACCATACATATAGTGTCAAAAAAGACACCCTTTTCTGATACATAGATTAAATCTATCTTACAAATTAGCTCCTCTACTGTGTTCCTTACAAGAATTACAGTTTGTATGATTTTAATTATCATTATTTTATAGTATACCCTTTAAAGCTTCATCACTGTATTATTCACCCATTCACCTTATAAGGAGGATGAACAATGTATTGACTAATTCTTTAATTATTATAGGATTCACATCCCAAGGGACACATTACTCTAATTGGAGCAGCTCTGGATTGCCCGACATTTAGTAAAGTCAAAAAAAGAGTAAGTACACTGACTGAGGCCTCTTTATTGACATGCATAGCAAGTACCTATCTCCTATTATACTGTAGTTATGTGTCATAACAATCATTATCATAATGTCTCCAAATAACGGAAACTGCTTGTATCAAAGTGTTGGTGGTATAATATTATTAATCAAAATATCAGTTTGCTTTATGCTTTAGTCACCAAAACTATAAGTGTTAGATTGCAATCACATTGATTAGCTGTGTATCAGATATCAATAGTGATATAAGGGACTATATTTTCATATACCTTCTGGTACTGTTATAATGATTGTTTTATGATAAAGTAAAAGTATTGACTTTAAAAAAGCAAACAATCTTAAACAAACACTAATATGTAAATAAATAGCGAATATATTGATAGTTTGTATGCTGATTACGAAGAGCACTGGAAACAGCAATATGGTTTACGTGCAATAGTTTGGGTTTTGGTCTTGCTTTACATTCTACACCTGAAGCTTACTTGCAATGTTTTTACTTTCAGTGGCTACTCAAGCTAACAACCGCCGAAGGAAAGGAGTACATGATCGAAGCACCTGATCAAATCTCAAGGAGCGAGTGGCAGCTGGCAATAGAGGAAAGAATAAGAAGGCTTGACCCATCAAAGGTGAGTCTTTACTGAGAGCTAGTGTGTGTGTGTGTGCTTCTGGTTTGTGTCTAATTCAATGTTTTCAAAACTAAAGTAATTAAATTATACAAAACATCTTAATAGTTTAACTGCACGCATATATGTAGCATAAGTGTTTTGGCATTAGTTACTTTTACTGATAATAATCAGTTTGATTTACCGAGTCAGATAGCTTGTATCTTGTTTCCATAGCTGGAGGAAAGTAAACGTTTATCGACCTTTGAAAGGGGCAGGATTACCCTAAGACGATCGTTCTCCAAGTCACAAAATGACGAAGAGATATCCAAACAAAGGTATACATTTAGCTACCAACAGCTTTATAATATTTAAAGATATTTTACATGGTAGAATTTTTTAGTTCGTTTATATTAATTTTTTTGTTCCTTTAGGGACATTGTTCAAGCAATGCAAGACCCATCAGCTGGTGTTTGCTTGAGCGAGATAAAACGAGGAAGACATATTGATAAATATTTCAATGGTAAGGATTAAATCAAAAAGAACTACAGAGAAATAGAGAGAGATTATATTGAGTGGCATTGAAAAGGAAATATGGCTATATGGTAGTATAATTATCATTATAGGTAAAGATGCTATTGATTGGATTATTTCGTGGTTTTTTGCTCGTGACAGAGAAGAAGCCATTTCACTAGCTGGTGATATGCTTAGGAATGGCTTCTTTCATGCAATAGAGGAAGAAGGAGAAGGACGAAGGAAGTTCCATCAAAGCACTATTGCAGCTGACAAAGGAAAATTCTCCGTATTTCAAGACTTGGAGAGTGCAAGATATATATTTGTAAGTACAAGACATATCATCAAAGTATTGTGTGAGAGATAAAGCTGATAAATTTAAAAAGGCATTCCTTCATAATAGTAAAGGAGTATACAGTTATTGTATTGGCAAGTGTTGGTGTGTTTTAGCTCCAGCACAATCAGGATTGTATTAACTATTAGTTGATTTTGCATGGTCCTGTTTTGTTGTGTAGGTCTCCTTTAATCCAGTTCAAAAGGTTAAACTGTTTACTGCTAGTGATGATGGTGGAGAAGCTACTGATGATGACGCCTTCTGGATGGCAGCCAGTGACTCATTTCTACCAGATGCTACTAAAAACAGAAGTGTTTCTATGGTAATACCTTATAAATAACAAAATAAAAATAATAAATAATAGCAATAAAAACTGGGATTTTAAATGAAATAATTATACTGCTAGCATTAACACTGTTTAATAATGATAGTAGTTGTATTTGAATTTAGAGATGCACCAAAATGGCTTTTTGTCAATATTACAATAATCAATAAAATGACTAGGAAAGAATTCTCCCCTTTTATAATTTTTTCTCATACATATACATGTTTTTATGTTGTGTAGAAAGTTTGAGCTAATTTTAATCAAATTTAATTTTTTGGGGAATTTTTAAAGTTGCTAAAAAATTATACTAAAGTCCCTGTACTATAGTACAGGAATTTTAGTCAAATTTTGGCAAAAATGTCAAGGAAAGAATTCTTTATTTTTATAATTTGTTTTGATGCATATACATTTACTTATGTTTTGTAGAAAGTTTAAATTGATTTTGATCAAGTTTGAATTTTTTATGAATTTTTAAAGTTGCTCAAAAGTTAGGCAAAGTCCTTGTACTATATATAGTACAGGAATTTTGGTCAAATTTCATCAAAAATGACTACAAGAGAATTTTCCATTTTTATAATTTTTTCTGATAGATATTATGTATTTATGCTGCATGGAAGCTATGAGTTGGCTTCGATCAAATTTAATTTTTTATGAATTTTTATTTGAAACTCAAAAATTTTGCCTATAATGACTAGGAGAGAATTCTCCATTCTAATAATAATTTTTTGATACATATACATGTACTTATGTTGTGTAGAAAGTTTGAACTGATTACTGATTCCAATCAAGTTTGAATTTTTTATGAATCTATAAATTTTGGACAGAGACCATGGGCTAACAGGGCATTTTGTCAAAAATGGCTAGGAAAGAATTCTCCATTATAATACATCCTGATTAAATGTAAAGTGTGAATGGCTATGTTTACCAATACTTGACATGTTTTTCTATCACAGGATTCAACAGACTCCTTACCTGGGGATAAAGATGATAAAATTATCAGGCAAGGCTTTCTTCTCAAAAGGGTTAGTCTGTGCCATAAAAGCTGTCTCCTTCAGATCTAAAATATTTACTGTTTATCATTTTAAGTTTGATAAACAATAAGCTGCTTTTGTTCCTATGAACAGTGACTGTGATATCAATAATGATATTTTATTCACTGAAAGCTATTCCAGCAAATAAACTACTAGAATGCAAATTTTCAGCATCTTATGCACTTCAAGGTGATAACAAAGTGCAAGCGTAATCTCGTGTGCAAAGGAAGCTGTAAAATTTTTAGCTAACCAGATAACTTAAGTGTACCATATAATGTTTAAAAAAGGAAATAAAATGTTATTATTAGATAATTGTGCATGTCCTTCTTCACATCCTTGCAGGGTCATGTGAGAAAAACATGGAAGATTAGAAGATTTGTCCTCAGAGAGAAATCTACATATCTTTGCTATTACAAGACAGAAACGGTAACAATTAAACATTGATATGCTTACATGCGAAAATCGCACACTCTTTTTAGATACAAAATGATCCACAGGGAGCTATCCCATTACCAGGCTCCACTGTTTCAATAATTACTGATGACATAGAATCTTCATCATCATCTATAGAATATTCCACATCTCCTCTTACAGGATCGGCATCTTCAAAGAGCGGATCTTCACCAGTAAAGCAGAGTATAGAGAAGAGACCTTATTTATTCTGCGTGCTAACCCAGTCTGGTGTTAAGTATTTCATTCAGGCAGCATCAGAGAAAGAGAGGTCAGACTGGGTTAATGACATTGAATATCACATTAAAAGAGTAACACTAACTGGATTATATTGATGTCACCTTTTTATTATCATTTATGTGCCTTCTCAATTTAACTTAACTCATTGTTGACTGCATTGATTTTATGGACATTCATTAATTAAACAGTTAAAAATAAATGAAAAAATAATGTTTAGTAGTAATAATAGTTATTTTAAATACTATGCCGGATGTTAGTGTAATTAAAATGTACATATTTCAATAGCTAGTGTTTTATGCAAGTCTCAAGCGACCTCAATCTGCAGTTGCATGCTCTGACCAAAACTTCTTCCTCTGCCTTGCTTTGGCCAATACATCAGATGCAACAGAAATACTGGAAGCAACAGAGATTGAGCTAACAGAGTAACTATCCTGCTCCTTGTGGTGACTTAGATGAGAGGGTATATTTGTATTGGAGGGAATGGATTGACGGGATTTGTACTGATTTAGAGCAGAGAGGCAGAGATTGCAATTGCTAGAACTTGATTTCGCAATCCCGTGTGTCATAAAGTGAGTCGGTTTCAACGATGAAGAGGGGCCAGTGTAATGACACGTATTACATGCAGTGCAGGATTGACGAGGAGTAAGCGGAGGAAGAGGGTGAGAAACTGCTGCTGAGTCAAGAGGGCCATTGTAATCACATATATGACATGAGATTGACGGCTTAGCAGCGTTAGTATCAGTGTTAAGATCAGAGTCAAGATCAATGTTAGGATTCTGTGAATAAATATCAGTGTGTAACTCTATAGGGACATTGCTGTCTGAAGGTGCTGCTGCTGGAACGTCACGAGGAATATTCCTTTTAGCAGGCGACTGATGCAACAGTGTAGGTGATCTATAATGTGATGGAGGAGAGAGAGGAGAAGGATTAAATGAAGAGAGAGAAGAGGGAGGGGTTAGATGTGGTCTTGAATACACTAAAGGTGTTGATTGTGGATAAAGGGGTTGAGTGGTAGTCCTTCCAGGAACTGGTGGCTTCATTGGACCATTCTTAGTGTAAGGATTCAGTCTAGTGTAAACAGTAGTGGGTTTAGGGACAGAGGAGTAGGCAAGAACTGGTCTTGTACTTTTTTGTGGTATTTTATGATCCTTAGTTTTCTTTTTTGTCTTCAAAATAGGAGACGCACCGTGTGCATTAGCAGTAGGAGGAGGAGGAGGAGGTTTGGGTGATGGAGTTGGTGTAGTATGACAATGAATGCAATGGGAGGATGGGGTAACAGGATCATCAGTACTGGATGCCAGTAGAGTACCATGATGCTGTAGAGTATTATGATGCTGTGGTGTGCATATACAATCATGTGTACTAATACCAGGCCTATCAGTTTCATCAGAGACACTCTCAAGCTCTGAACCTTCTTCTTCATTATTATTATTATTGGTGCTAGCGTGATTATACATTGAATCTGGTGAGTCGCTGACTCGTCCCGACTGGCTATCTTCATCTTCTTCTAAGAATACAAGGTGGTTACGATGAGAGCTGTCTCCTCTAATTTTATATTCCTCAGCTTTCTTTCTTAACTCCAAAACCTACAAGACACAATGAAATAATAATAAACATAATTATCGTACATACATGTACACATACCTGATTGTACCATGAAGAATCTGATTCATTTGACTGTGATACTGGAATGAATGTCACCTCATCATCATTTGTGCTGGTAGTTGGTGGTTTTCTTCGTGATGAAGGCTGTATCAAACAAAAAGACACACATTACATGACACATACATATGTACATGAATCAATCCTAATCATAAAAATTGTGAAAAGCAACCAAACTCACATTGATGTATAGATCAGGTTTTGGTGCTCCTAGCCATGATCCTTTGGTATACTGGCACTGAACAGGAGAAATGAAATTAGATGAGTACTCTGTCGCATGAGAAGGCCTACATAAAAAATAGCATGCATGTAAAAAACTGATTAAAAATAAGATGAAGCTTAAGGATCCTCAATTTTCTGATACATATTGACATCTTTATTGTATGTAGAAAGCTTGTTCTTATTCCAACAAATATTTTGCGAGTTATGAGGATTAAAAAAAACAAACCAATTTTTGAAAAAAAGCAAAGGCTATAGCCCATGGTTTTTTCCAAAAAACAGCTCCAAAATCACCCCAAATTTTTATTACATTTTCTGATACATATCGATGTCCTCATGCTATGTAGAAAGTTTGAGCTAATTCCGACAAATATTTTTTGAGTTATAAGCATATAAAATTTTTACAGGGCATAAGAAATACCATTAGCATGACTTGTGTGTACTATTAATGAATGCATGTGACTTATTTGTACAATTAATAATATGCATGCATGTACAACCTGCTGGGGCTCTTGTTTATGTGAGTTGTTTGCTTCTGTTGTCCTGATGAGTCATCCTTCGAGCCATATATCACTTCTATAATGAGAGCAGAGTCATTGAAAAGATTAAATTATGCATACCTTTTATTGGGACATCCTCTCTATAACTCATACCAGAGGCGCTAATTGGAATATCTTCACTCTTACTTGGTCTGTATTTAGGATCAAACTGTGCCCTATACTCAGTTACAAGAGGGTAACTTGGACTTAATGCGTGCTCTCCTCCTCTTCCTTTATGTTTCTCTTTGGTCTTCTTTACAGGAGCTGGGTCAATGACAGGAGGTTCCTTGTAGTTCTTAGGAGGTCCTGTATCAATCATTTTGATTGTGTGCCCGTCTTGATGAGTTTTAACTTTCTTTCCTTTTTTACTAGTAGCTATTGATTCAACAGGTTGACAGGGTTTAGTACCATCGTGCAGTGTAGGGCCTTCATGTAAAGCTGGTTTCTGAGGGTCTCCTTTGTTATTAGTCGGCTTTGTAGGTTTTCCCTCAGTTCCTGTAACTTTTAATTTCTCTAGGGCAGGATGCTTCTCCTTACTCTTATCTCCTCCTTCCAGAGAATTGCTGTCTTTGAGGATCCTCCTTTGTTTCGTTTCTCCTTGTTTCTTAGGTTTTTCCTGAAGGAGAGCAGTAGGAGGGACCTTGTTTTCCTTTGCTGCAGTAGCGGCAGCCATTACGGGAGACACTCCTTCCATTTGTGATGGCTTCCAAGCATACTGATATTGATACTCAGTTGCAGGATATAAATCGGCTCTTCGGTATCCAACTTTATACCTCATGGCCAATGAACCAGACTCTTCCTCCTAAACAATGTGAATTATACATTTATGTCTTGCATAAATCCATGTACATGTACATATACTTTTGCTTCTAGGAATAGTAGACAGTAATCAACACATGAATGCTTAATATGCACGTGTCATGTAGTCATGTACTGTACAAGAACAATGAAGCCTGCATGCAAAACCATCTTTTAATTTGGCATCAGTACCAGTTGAATTGTATATTTCATTGACCTTTGGGAATAAGAATAGACACACATGTACATGCACAATACTGAGGCCAAGATGTAGTACTGATTGGCCCAGCCTCTAATGAAGCCACATAATTTTGAGGTAGTGGTTAGTGATAATTGTAGCAGCTGTTCATATCTGTTCTAGGCCGACCTCTAGACCTCTAGTGTAGTACATGATGCAACCAAGAGTACGCTGCTATGACAGTAGTACTATAAAATGCTATACATTACAGTGGTATGATCCTTTAACAAAGCATAATCTAAACTATCAGGGAAAATTATAAAAATGGAGAATTATCTCCTTTTCATTTTTCGTGAAATTTGGTCAAAGTCTCTGTACTATAGTACATGGACTTTGGCCTGATTTTGGAGCAACTTTAAAAATTCATAAAAAATCCAAGTGCGATTGGAATCAACTCAAACTTTCTACACAACATACATATGCAAGTACATGTATATGTATCAGGAAAAATTATTAAATGGAGAAATCTCTTTGGCAAAATTTGGCCATTGTCATTGCAATGAACAGTACATGTAATGTACATGTAAATGGATAAAAATTAAAAATATAAAGGATGTCAATTTGTAGTTGTAGTGTGCAAAACAAAAATAATAATTTAACCATGCAGGTGAGTATTTGGTATTCCTTTGGTAATCAGAGACCAGAAAATTGCTCAGCAAAGGTATGTAGCAATGCAAATGGAGACTGATTTGGGAACAAGTTCAAGGAACTTGTATTGGATGTGAATGTGATTAAATAAACATTGATTCTTGGAAAAATGATACACCCACACATATATAATTTTTGGCATGCAAACTGCAAGGTAATCAATTATTACAACTACCATTTTAATGTAACTATTACGTATAATAATAATAATAATAATAATAATAATAATCACATACTTTTATTTCATGGTCCGTAACACGAGTTCTTTTCTCAGCATGTCCTTCTTCTTTTCTTTTACGAAGGATAGGTGGTTCCATAGCAGTAACTTGACGAGAAGAGCCCCTCCCAGCAGCAGGAGTCTCAAAAAACTATGTAAACAAAAACAATAAAATAAATAATTATTATTTATTACTCTAATTTTCTATAAAAGTTTAATAAAAACTTACAAGCGACTGAGGTTTGTCCGTCATGATGGCTGAAAAATATAACTAAAGCATAAAAACAAGGTCCCTCTGTAATATTCTGATGTACACTACTTCAAAAGTTTTGTGGTAGCTGCCATTATTCAAATTTTAAAGTGGGCGTGGAATTTTGCTACCGTATTAGTTTTAGATACAACGGCCATTTCTAATTGAAAGAGTCAGTAAAATTTTAAATTTTGAGTGGGCGTATTAACGACGCATGCGCATAACATAAAGCAGCCGGTTCATCGGTTCGGTGAATCTAATCAATCTCTGGAATACAGTGAAAGGGTTGAATTGCTGTTTCTTCGCCTGAACCGCTTCTCCTGATAATCATTATGCTCTGCTAGGATTTACTGATAGATATATCAACACAGTTGGTCGGATCTGCTAGCATTTATACTCAAAGGTGTGTGTAATTTGTCCCCGGGATCCCTTCTGTCGCTCGCTGTACATTGAGTTCAGACCTTGTAATTCATGGCTTGTTCACACTATCCAGTCCCTGCCTGTGTGTTTGTGTATTGTGTAGCTAGCTGTGACTGGATAAATATGTGCTCAACTTATTAATCTGATCAGTTACTACCGCCCCTGTTGTATGACTTACTGACACGTGTTGTCACTGAGAGAGGGCTCAACTGCATTTTCCCCCCACCATGTTTATATTTTATGTATTATAGTGCTTTCTAAAAGAGCAGTCCAGTATCCCCTATGTTTTGTTATGTGTACTAGACAATGGTTTTAAGAATTGATGTTACTGCAGCCTTATTCTCCCCACAGGATAACTGTTGAATACTGTCAAAGGGAAAACTGAAAGTGTTTCACCTAGGGATTCTTGTGTGGTGTCTCTCTTTGATAGCAGCTTTACATTACTCTAGAGAAGCAACTACTTGTGTATCAAGCTTGTACAAGTGTTAAGTGAAAAACATTCAGACCTGTTGTTCTCTACAATAATAGAACTTTGTGAGTACATCTTTACACGTGTGTATGCGTGGGCTGCATCCTATACAGTATTAAAAGAGATCAATAACCAAGCAGTATTATACATAAGATTATATATTAATACACATATTACATTGTCATGAAGAGGAGAACAGAGAGTCATGGCTTGTCTGGTGAAGACATTGGGATGAAAAGGATAGTACGTCACAAAGGAACGAATCATGACTCACTTTCTCCTGAAATTGAACGGAGCAGTGACTCACGCAAGCGCACTGTCTCTGATAGGGACTTAGGATCCTCCTCTGGTGGAGGGGGAAGCTCTGGAAATTATGACAAATATTCTGGGAGTGGGGGTGGTAAGTATAGTGGAAGTTCCCACCGTGACCATTCGCTTGAGAGGTCAAGCATTGACAGGCATAGCTCTAGTAATAGGAGAGCATCTTATCCTGAGTCCAGTCGTCATTCTAAAGGATCCTATGGTGCTGGAGGTGGGAGTGGTCCCAACCATATACTTGATCAGATTGATTTCTCACTTCATATCAGTAACCTTGACATGAGGCCTCCTGATGAGGAGCTAAAGAAAGTCTTGTTTAAAGAGTTTAAGAAGTATGGGTATATCACTGTTAAAGTCCTTGGTTATGGTAAAGAAAGGAGAGCATTCATTAATTACCAGCACTATGATGAAGCAAAGCGTGCCAAGAAGGATAAGCAACGCATTGTCTTGTTCAACAGACCAATTAATGTGGAGTGGTCCAAATCTACACTTATTAAATACCCTGATGTTGCTTCTGGTAGAAAACCAAGTACGTCATCTGATGTGACATCAAATTCTTTTATTGATGATTTCCACGTGGGTGGATCATCTTCACATGACCATCACAGCAGATCACGTGATCATCACACTGATACATCCTATAACAGCCACCACAGTGGATCACATGAGCACCATACTGAGTCACATGACCGCAGTAGGTCACATGATCATCGCAACGGCTCTAGTGATCATCGTCATCATTCACGTGAGAGGACCAGTGACCACAAGCGTGATGTGAGTTATAGGAGACCCTCCACCACTGATTCAAAATCAGTTCTTGATTCTAATGCAACACGCACACTGTTTGTTGGTAATTTAGAATTGGATGTGACAGAGAGAGAATTGAGGGACCTGTTCAGTCAATATGGACGCATTGAGAGTGTTGATATCAAGCTTGCTAAATCAGCCGGCACAAGTTATTCATTTATCAAATTCACAACAATCACAGATGCTATTAATGCCAAGAATGAAATGCATGGACATTTGTTTGGGACCTTCAGATTAAAAATTGGTTTTGGTAAGGGATCACCGACCGGTAAAGTATGGGTCGGTAATTTATCAAATGCTCGGGATCTTGCTGAAGTCAGACACGAGATGGATCGATTCGGTCTAATTAGGAGGTGTGACTATCGTGATCATGACACTCATGCTTATGTGCATTTTGAAAGCCTGGACGCTGCCCAAGCGGCAGTACATGCCCTCCAGAACATGCGGCTACGCAATGGAAAAACGGTGAGACTTGATATACACAAACCGTTGCACATGAGAGAGTTGGAGGATGATTTTCCGCCAGCAAGCCATCACGAGTCTAATGATTATTCATCAGGAGGACATCACCACAAATCACGGTCTTCCTCTCATCATCATCACAGAGACGTTGACTCTTTTGATCATGAGACAAGGAAAGATAAACCCGATGACCATCACTTACGCCATTCACATCATTCCTCCAAGGACAGGATTGTTACAGAAGAAGACCGGAACTATAGGAAGCGTCCACGTACTTCTCAGACCTTTGATAAACACAGTGATGCAGGGAGTTTCTCTGGTGAATACAGTAGCACTAAACGTCATTGCACTAGTCTTGATTATGAGAGCCCAAAGAGATCCTCATCAGTTGGTAAAGATTATCAGCATCGTCCGTATTACCATCACTCTAAAAGAGGGGGTAGGCGTGGTGACCACACCCACTCATCTGAGTCATCTCCGCGTCATAGGAGTCACAGGGGTCATTCTTCTGATGACAAGCAGCACACTGAGAATAAAGACACAGCCACTTCTGGTGATAAGGATCAAACTAATTGTAATGGGGGTGATGCCCCTCCTCCTCCTCCACCCCTTTCAGCTGATGCTGTTGCTAGTAGCAGTATGATGATGGAAGGAGATACAGCTCTTAAACTGAGTGATGCAACTGAACCTGTCTCACCTGATAGTGATGGGAAAGGTCCCAAACCTGATTCCACACATCCAGAGACCCTCTCTGAACTAGGCAAGTCTTATCCCATTGCTTGGAGAGGTAACTTGGTCTTGAAGAATACCGGTTTCCCAGCAAGACTCCATCTTGTAGGCGGAGACCCATCTGTGGCTGAGTACTTGTTGAGAGGGAAGGATGAACCCTGTGTGTTGAGGATCACTCAGCGACTGCGACTTGAGCAACCAAGACTTGATGAAGTGAACAAGAGGTTAACCATAGCTGGTCCTAATGGTCACTGTATTCTCTTTGCACTCCCTGGGCCCACACTCAATCATGGCTCACCTGATGAAGGTGATGACAGCATGCAGTTGAGGCCATTGCGCAGTCTAGTCAGTTATCTGAAGCAGAAAGAAGCAGCTGGTATTGTGGCTCTTAGCTCTTCTGACATTGGAGATGGAGGGAGTGAGAATGGTGGAGGGGTCAACAAGGAGGTCATTGGTGTCTTGCATGCTTTCCCTCCTTGTGAGTTCTCTCAGGCTCAACTGATGAAAGTTATACCTAGTCTCTCACTGGAGCCATCTAAAGAGGATCACATTGTTATACTTCTTGTGAAAGGGAATGTCTGAAGGCTTTATCCACTGGAGTGTCTGAACTTTAAAGACTTATTTATACTCTAGTTAATAATAAATTAATAATTAGGATCCCGCTTTACCATATTGTTGTGGTACATTTATAAACTGTTTGGTTTGTTTTACACTATTTTGAAAACTTTTTTGCTACTAATTTTTAACATGTTCATTGTTTAATTGATTTCATAGCCTGCTCTTCTGCTATTTGTAGCTGAGCTGCGATTACAAATTGCCATACAGTTGACCGTATGAATACCTGGTAATTAATGAGTTGCTACTTTATGTTATATTTATCTTACATTTAATAGTTTTACTATGAAATTCGCCTACAATACACTGAAAGAACAATTTAAATTGGTTGATATTTTTATGGTAAAAAAAAAATTAACTATAACAGAACTGCAAGCAACTGACGTCCTTGACTTTCCAGGATGCATACATACAGTGTTCTAGACAATCGCAGCTTCCTGCCCATACTAGCCAGAAGAATACACTTCAGAAGTTTAAAGTTGTTCCAACAAGAAATAAAGATGCTGTGGCCTCTGAATGACTGGTGTAAAATCTAGGCTCTAAAAATATTTCAGACAATTTTATTGAGGCAAAATGACTTGGTTAATGATCCTGAGTGTGGAATCTGTAGAAAAAAAAACACCAACAGTCAAAATCTGGCATGAAATAATGTACCATGCAGGCTGAATCTACATTATGGATGCATTTGTCATTCTAGACAACAGTATCAAAATGAAACCTTGCATACACAACAATCTATTAATAGGCTAGTTGCATGCCAATGTATACCATTTTCAAAACAACAACAATATCAGCAAAAATATAGTTACATTCAAGACTAAAAACTAACTAATTGATTCTATACCTTCTTTGCTTTAAGTTTGAGTTATAGACCATCCACCACCATTATGTAAACAGCTCAAAAGTAGACACATCTTTAGCTGTCACTTGGCCGCCATTATGACATCACTCGGAAGATTTAATTTAATAATAGATTTAACGAGTCTGAAAGAGAATCAACATAGGAGGGGAGCCACAAATGTTAAAGACACCTTGATAGGTTATCAGCAAGAGCTGCTGATACCCAGGAGAGCATAATATAGTTATGAGAAAGAGGGAAGAGGAAGTACTGACGAAAAAACATAAGAGAAAAGAGAGTAAATAACAAAACAAAAAAGAGAATATTTACGTACATAATAGATGCTTTTACTCTAATAACAATAATTGTTAGCGCGTATTTAACTTCAGCAAATTTTAGTGGTTTTAAAATGATATTCATTAACATTAAAATTAATGATCAAAAATGCTAAATTAAATACCAGCCAAATGTCAGTATCATGAAAACCGCTAATATAAGTACATGCTAATAATAATTATCTCCTTGAGGCAATAATAAAGCAAAAAAATAAAATAAACTAACAATGAAATAGTATGAATTCCAATTATTCCATGGTGGTCACCATAATATTAGTTTTGGGGGAGTTACCTACAATGCCTAGTAGTTCCCATCCCAGCAATAACTGGAGACAACCCTACACCCAAGAGGCTATCTCCTCAGATCACAGGGAGCTAAGTGATCCAAGTGAAAATAAAATTCACGTGAGCTTACCGTTGGCGTCATGGCCATGGCTGGAGCTGATACAGCACTTAAACTGAGTGACGCAACTGAACCTGTCTCACGATCACCTGATAGTGATGGGAAAGATCTAGATCCCAAGTCTGATCCCACCCTCTCTGAACTAGTCAAGTCTTATCCTTTTGCTTGGAGAGGTAACTTGGTCTTGGTCTTAAAGAAAACTGGTTTCCCAGCAAGACTCCATCTTGTAGGTGGAGAATCATCTGTTGCTGAGTACTTGTTGAAATCGAGAGGGAAGGACGAGGGGAAGGATGAACCTTGTGTGTTGAAGATCACTCAGCGACTGCAACTTGTGCCATCAGGATTTGATGAAGTAAACGAGAGATTAACCAAAGCTGGTTCTAATGGTCACTGTATTCTCTTAGCACTCCCTGGGCCCACTGATGAAGGTGATAATAGCATGCAATTGAGGCCATTGCGCAGTCTAGTCAGTTATCTGAGCCAGAAACAAGCAGCTGGTATTGTGACACTTAGCTCTTCTGACATTGGAGATGGAGGAAGTGAGAATGGTGGAGGGGTCAACAAGGAGGAGGTCATTGGTGTCTTACATGCTTTCCCTCCTTGTGAGTTCTCTCAGGCTCGACTGATGAAAGCTATACCTAATCTCTCACTGGAGCCATCTAAAGAGGATCATATTGTTATACTCCTTGTTAAAGGGAATGTCTGAAAGCTCTATCCACTGGCACTGGAGTGTGTGTTTACAAGACTTATTTATACTCTAGTTAATGATAAATTAAGGATCCCGATTTACCATAATTGTTGTGGTACATTTATAGATCTAAACTATTTGGTTTGTTTTAAACTATTTTGAAAACTTTTTGCTACTGTAACTTTTAACATTATGTTCATGTTTAATCATAGATTAAACAATAAACATGAACTACTCTATTATCTATGGTTTAATTGATTTCATAGCCTGCTCTTCTGCTTATATTTTTAAGTTGCGGTTACAAATTGCCACGCCCTTTTATAAACTGCCTCCTTTCTGTGCTGTTTGATTCTCGCCAAGTTCTCGCTCTCTCTTTCTTGCTCTGCTTTGTGCAAGCTCAGAGGAGAAGAAGCATTCAAAGAAGCCTGTTTCATGGCTGAACAAAAAAGAGTAAACCGGCTGCCCTCAATTAGATCCCGTGCTATAGAAACTGTAAGTATTCCTGCAGAGTACATGCATATAGGGTGGAGCTGACTGAGCATAGAGTTGTTGGTTGTTAAGTAATTTGACTAAGAAAAATCCACTATTCTTAAATTTATCAATTGTGTGAATGTATTTGTATAAATGACATGAAATTATGATTGTGTGTGTTGCTCTGTGAGTTGCTTGGAATTCAGGGAATCTAAAACCATCTAACACTCAATAAAATTTTTATTGTTTATTTTAATATTATTACTAATGATGCTCTAGGGTGTGCTTGTTCATGAAGTAGATGAGGGAAGTCCTTGCTTACGATGTGATAACTGTGAAAAAGGTTTTTTATTGCACTTTTGGAGGTGAATTGCTATTTCATGTAGCATATCGTTAGCCTCATGTTTTGCTAGGAAAATCTGTGCTAATTGTCAATGTCCAAGAGAAGAGCATGATATTAGGCCACATGAAGAGAGACAAGCTGCAGTTGGAAAGCTTTTGTTTCACTCTAATTCTGACGCCAAAGCTATGGTTAAAGATGCTGCTTCCAAGTCACCACAGAGGTAGGTTTATTATAGCCTATACCATGGCCTCTACATATACATTAATTGTTTTATTTCATAGACCAAGAGCAACTATACCTCACATTCCAAAGCAAGAATCTGAAAGTCCTTCTATTTTAAGGAGAACAGAAAATTTTACATGGACACCTAGGGATACTACTGTTGAAGCTGTTAGCCACTTATATTGTTTGCATTTGATATTTTGATATACACTAATAGGCTCGCAGTTTCTTTGCAAATCTTCCTCAAAATAAGAAGCCAGTTGCTGGGATGGCAGGTGATAGATATTGGCAGAAGCAGAAGATTCGTCAGCTCCCAGCTCATGATATTGACCTGATATACTGCAATGAGCTAACAGATGAAGAATGCAAGCAAATGGAGCTGTTTATTAAGATCAGGAGGGAAAAGTTTCTTGGACGTGGAATGATTAAAGCTTCTGATAGCAGCTGTGTAAGAACAGCTAACACAAATAAGAATTCAATTATTAATAAGTTTTCACCTCAAAAATTTCAATCCTTTCCATTTTCACATTTTAGGTTTGTAAAAGGTGTTGTGTGACATTCAAAAAAGGAGAGTCTGCAGTTATAGCTGATAAATTATCTGGTTCTGACAATATGTACCATCCAGCTTGTTTTACTTGCACCGACTGCAATGAATTACTGATTGAACTCATTTATTTTGTGTATGAGGATAAGCTCTACTGTGGGAGACATCATTCTGAGAAAATGAAGCCTCGCTGTGCTGCTTGTGATGAGGTATGTCACTAGTAGTAGTAATATTGTCTATACAAAATAATTAATGAGTGCCAGCTATTAATAGAGTGCATTTATTTTCATTCTTATTGTATAGATGATTTTTTGTGAAGAATACACTCGTGCTGAAGACCAGAATTGGCATGTCAATCACTTTTGCTGTCATCGTTGTGACAGCTATCTTGGAGGCCAAACCTACATGGCCAAGGAGACACAGCCATACTGTTTGAAGTGCTATGAACTGCTGTTTGCTAATATCTGTACTGTAAGTGATAGTGAAACTGTTAGTTTATTAATTTTATTCATGCATTAGGCATGCGGGTCCACTATTTCTCTTGATGAACCTGTACTGAAGCATGAAGGAAAGTATTGGCATGCACGTGCTGAATGCTTCAAGTGCAGAACATGCAAGAAAGTGTTGGTTGATCAGCCTTTCCTTCCAAAGAGCAGCAAAATCTTTTGCAGCAAGGAATGCTTCAGGGAATACAGGGATAGTAAAAGAGCTGCACAATAATTAGGGAGGGACAGTCTAGTTGTTTGTTTTTAAAGTTCACATGTACTGTACTGCAATGATTAATTTTTTACAAGAAATTTTTTTAAAGATTCTAGTCAACGCCCTTTTATCTCACGTGATCAATCAGCCCCACCTTCTTTTTAGATGGCTGCTCGGCCCAAGTCACTCAGAAAAGCTGTGGACGATGTTCTTACTTGTGGGATATGCCTAGAGATTGTGGACTTACCCAAAGTTCTCCCCTGCCTTCATACATTTTGCAGAAAATGCTTAAAAGAGCTTATCAATACTTCTGGAGGAGAGACCATTCGCTGTCCCATTTGTAATGCCACCCACGCCGTTCCCAGGAGAGGAGTGGACGGTTTCCGTTCCAACTTTACACTTCAGAACCTTGTTGAGGCTCGACAAGTCAGTGACGCCGAGAAGGACTCCTTCCCTGGTATCACATGTGAGAGTGGGCTAGACGAGAACAAGGGTGTGTCCCGATGCATAGATTGTGCCAATTTCCTTTGTGCTCATTGCGAGGACCTTCACAAGAAACTCAAAGCCACACGCGGCCATCGTATTATCCCCCTGACCGAGATAAAGAACGACGTACGTAAGTTAGAATACAAGCGTTATTGTATTGAGCACGAAGAGGAGGAGCTCAAGTTGTTTTGTCAGGATTGTAAGGAGGTGATCTGTCGGGATTGCACTATCGTCGGTCATAAGGGACACGATTACGATTTCATTAAAACCGTCTTTCCCCAGCTCCAGGGAGACATACGTGGACTCCTTGAGGGAGATCTTGAAAATAAGTGCAGCGAGTTTGAGGCCCACCTCGGATACATTAGAGAAGTGAAGGAGAAAAACTATGAAAATATTGCAAAGTGCAAGGATGATGTGAAAGCATATTACGATACTTATAGAAGGAGATTATTTGAGCAAGAGGCAATTTTAATGGAATCGCTTGATGCTACGCTTGGGGATCGTTCGAAGCAGCTCGACATTGTCCAAGAAACTGTGGAGACGTCTAAAGCGAAACTAGACAGTGCCCGGGACTTTGCTAAGCAATTGCTGGAGAGTGGGACACAGGTCGACTTGGCTATGATGTATAGGCAGACTCGATCACGACTGGAAAACCTCAAGGAAGAGACTTGGGACCGTAACACAACCCAACCTTGCCGACTAGTCTTTGTCAAAGATGAAAAGGATGACAATCCTTTTAAAGCTAAAGTCCGAGGGGGCATAAATCGCGGGGATTTGATAGTCGAGAGTCTGGGACAGCCTGTGCTGGGCATGAATAAGTTTAACGTTAAGCTGGAGTCCGAAGTCAATGCATATAGCCTCATAGTGACAATAATGAACGAGAATGGAGACCATTTAAAGGATATCAACATCAAGCCAAAGGGAGGGAACAAGTGGGAGGTGACATACAAGATATCGGGCGATGGAGTGTACATCGTATCTGTACTTCTTGATGGAGTGGAGGCTAAGGAGAGTCCTTTTATACGGGAGTGGCAGGCAAAGCTCCTTCAAGGGAAGAAAGTCATGCGCGGTAATGACTGGAAGTGGGGAGATCAAGATGGTGGACCGGGAGGTATAGGAACCGTTGTGGGCTGGTCTGAAGAAGTCGGAGCATCTGATAACTGGGCAAAGATCAAGTGGGAGATTACCAATCGTCAGAATAATTATCGCTGGGGAGCAGAAGGGGCTTATGACTTAATGGTAGTGCCACAACAATAAGGCTATGTTATTATTATTACTAACTTTCTTATTTTGTTATTGTTGTATTTGATTTTTTCATGTGTTGTAAAGGTGTATCTGCTGGTGTGTTGACATACAAGTTATGTCATTCAATCAAATGTGAACGGCAAGACAAAATTAGTACAACTAATACTTAATGTCCTTTAGATCTAATTTGCACTAAACTACATGTATTTGTAGCTTCACTTTTAAAAAAAGATTATTTTTTAATTTTAAATTACTATTAATATCAATGATAATGATCACATGTCATTTTACATAAGTAAATTTAATAACAGGATGATGGTGAGCTTCTAACTTCAGTGACAATAACGAATGCTCGGGCGTTCCTGGTCTCACCTTTCCATAAAAAAGGTAAATAATTTCAACCTTTTTGTAATTCTTTTCATCAACAATTAAATCCCATAATCTATCTTTTGTTGCCTTTTCATCGAGAAGTTTAGCAATATCAGTGGCTTTTTGCTGGTCTCCATTAAAATGATGGCAGTAGTATAGCATCACAATAACATAAAGATATTCATGCTCAGGAATATTTTTATTGAGATTAATGTACGTTTCATAATGCTTGACAGCCTTTTTGTAATTTTGTGCACCAAAATAAGCTCGACCCTTTTTGAAATTACCACATCGGATTTCAGAACATTTTTCAATTGGCCATGAAAGTCCAGTTTTCACTTGTAATGCTTCCATCAATGTGTCAATATCCCCAACTTCAAGAGAAAATTTTTGAACTTGATTAAAATATTTTTCTACAGATTTTTCTACTTGAGTACCATAATTTTTATGCAAAGTCTTGATTCTTGGTTTACGTGATTTTAAATACTCAAGTGCTTCTTTTGCTTTGCCTAAGTAGTCCTCGACAATACTTACTTGGATAATCATTTCAACAAAAAGTTCAACATAACGTTGAGGCCCTTTGTCTGCAATAACTACTTTGCTATGAAGATCTAGCAGCATCGCAATTTTTTGACGACGATCCATAAGTAAATCTATCTTTTTATCAACTTTTACAACAGCGTTAGCAGTCTTGCTTTTTTTAACGTGGTTGAAGTAGTCCATAAGTGAGTCACTATATGATGCATACAACTCAGCTGATTCTGTGTATTGACTAACGTAAGACATATCTGACCCAAACTCTGGTAAAATTTCCTCCATAAATTCAAAATTATGCCTTTCCAAATCAAGTGCTGCTATAATTTTTGGATCGTATTGACCTTTATGTGCAGAAATGTGAAAAGAATTCCAATATTCAGCGAAATATTTGGCGAAACCGCTTTTAAATTGATTCACAATCTTCTGCTCAAATTGTATAGTCATGAGAAACATTTTAACAAGTTTGTGAAATGAATAGCGGTTTGAATTAGAATGATACTTTAGCAAAGATCTATTTACCAAGGTTTCCAAGCACTTTAATGGACTTGGTAGCCAGTTGTGATATATTTCTAGTATACTGAAAACTTCAACATAAAAATATGTTTCATTGGCCATGTATGTAAGGACACTTATAGCAGCATCTTGGCGAAAGGAACCTGGAAAGTTAGCTAAAAACCGAGCACATCTCTGAATATACTCATCATTTAAATTATTATATGAAACTTGAAGTGATGTTTGGACTTGATGAAATTCAGGTAATGTTTCCGGACTAAGAATATTTAGAGGGTTGGTAGCAATTCCAGTAATGATAGCCTCTGGTGAAATGGTGTTTGTTTCTAAAAGTGCCCCGACAATTTGAAGCGCAAGTGGTATATTTCCAACAGCATCAGCAATTGTTTCAGCATCTTTTTCAGTTAACTTAGAATTTAGTTTTTTCAAAAGTTCAGTGGCATGTTTTACACTTAATTCTTCAAGTGTTATTGATTTAAAATGGCTTAGAAATGTTGCCATATGCTTGCTTGTGAAAATAATTTTAATTTGGCTTGAGAATTTGATTAAAATGTCAAACACTTTCTGTATCACTCCTTTTTGATTGTTATCAAAAAAATTATCACATCCATCAAAAATTAATAGCTTTGGTACAGTGGATTCTGCAGCCAAGCATTTTAATTCCTCTATCATAACTGAATGTTGCGTACTATTTGTTGTGCCACCCAAAATTTTATGAAGAAGGTGTGGAATGTATAAAACTTCAGATAAATCAAAATATTCGACAGTAACATTAATTTTTGAAACTTTATGACCTGCTTTAATAGCCAATGTTGATTTTCCTATTCCTGGTCCTCCAAATATGCCAATAATTCTCGTATTTGATTTATTGAAATCCAAGTGCATTGTTAATTCCTTTAACTCAATGTTTCTTCCTACGAAATAAATCTGCTCTTTTGGTAATTTTGTTGAATAATACTTTGGAAGGTCTGATAGTGGAGGCATTTTTAAGTCTTCTTGTTGAGTTCCAAAATAACTTAGTCTTCCAATATTCAAAAAAAGGATCAATGCACAAAAAAGAGTAAAAATTAACAGGACGATTAAAAGGATAATGATACAAAAGCACCTGCATACCTTCTTTATGTAACCTAAATATAAAATTGTCATCATCATTATTGTGAAGATAATGAGCAGGTTATTTAATTTTTTTGAATTCAATGCATATAGCAAATTTTATTGAATTCCATGATGCACAGCCTGTTCAATAAATTTATTACCTAATTTTTATCCTCAAATGCTTATCAGGAATAATTTTAAATCCATAAAATATTAGTGCTATTATGATAAGGAAAAAGTCATGTTAACCACACTATACATACATCAGCAAGTGTACTCTTGATATCAGATATACTTACCCCTGATTTTTTCATACACAGACGCCTTATAAGATGCATACATAATTTTATTAAAAAGCTCCTTGTGCCCAGTTCCATCTGTTGATTTGTGAAGACATTGAAGAAAATCATCCAAGAATGTTGATCCTTTTAAAGGTAACCCTTTAATTAGCGCATTGATTTTATATTGACGAGTGAGGTAATTACTAGAGAGAACGTCAAACTCTTCATCAGAAAGCAGCTCTTTTGCATAGAGATGAGGTAAAACTGCTGTAATATCAAGATAACGATGAAGATCACCACTACAACTTTTGATAACTTTCTTTTGAACAAAAATGGGACATGTTTCTAATTAAAATAATTATAGTATCTGTAACTGATACTTGTGTCTGTCCTAACCTTGCATTATTAGTATATAGATAGTAGTAGAAAAAACGAGAGATCGAGAAAATTTTGACAATGGCAAATTGGCAATGGGCCAGTGCGGGGGAGTAACAAAGTAAGGGAGGGGCTAACAAAATTTAAGCTGGGCCATAGATATTAGAGTAAATATATTTACTAATATATTATATTTACTAATATATAATATAGTAAATAATATAGAGTAAATAGGGCATAGATATTTCATTTACTCTAATATCTATGAGCTGGGCCATAGATATTATAGACTACGTACAACAGTAGACTGTTCGCAAAAACAGTATTTTAGTTATTACAATATTACTCCTCTAACATAGCGAATCAGTAAATGAAACTATGACAGTTCCATGCACAATGATTGTGACAACATCTTCAATGATCTTGTTAGTCTATTTTTGCCCGTGTGATGGTGCAACAGGTACATAAAGTTTTTCAAATTTGCAACTAACACAAATTTGAACAAAATCACTGTATATTTGCAAAATAAAAATGGTATCAGTATTTCTTTCATTACAGTCATGTCACACAAACATTGAAGTATTGAAATATCATTAAAATAAAATGAAATCAACATTGGCTTGAATACAATCTTCCTTGGAATGTCGTCGATGACGATGAGTGGCCATTTTTGACCACACCCACCAAAATCCAATGATATGATATGACGGTCGTTGGCCGGGCGGTTGATACTATACTGGTTTGAATGGATCACGTGAGCTTGTTTCCTATCCTGGTTACGTAGTCTATAATATCTATGGCTGGGCATAGATAATAGAGTAAATGACATTTACTCTATTATCTATGCTAGAGTGGGGCGAGCTCAGGCTCGTCCCAATAAACTACTTAAGAATTAAGATGGAAGCTGTAGAGAAGAATTATGTTCCAGTTTATGGCTTTTGGCTACACTCTAAAGCAAGACTGAACAGAAAAAGTGTTGCAAATGGAAACCAATGATGCTCTTAGGGCTAACTACTTGACTTCTCATCTTTTATTGGAGCATGAACAATTTCAACATCACAGTAACTAATATCCTTAAAAGGAAGGACTACCAACCACTTCTACTCAAGTAGAAAGCTTCTCCAAGACTACATAGGCGGTTGCAGGCCTGGGCATTAGGGGGCAATGCCCAGGTTGACTTTTTGACCAATAATTATATTCATGATTCTGGTGTGGGCATCCAGTGCAAACTGTGGTAGTTCAATAGGCTTCTTTGTTGTTTTAAGCTAAGAAACCATCTCAATGAAGTTATAGATCAGTATTGTCCATTTTCCTTGCAAAATTGTATGGAACCGCACCCACTCCACACCCACTAATTATTGATGCCCAGGTCAAACCAAATTTCTGCAACCGCCCATGCAAGACTATTCTTTCTACTATTAGGATATTTGGTAAGCTCTCCCCTACAGGACTGACAAATGACAAAAAAAAGAGTAGAAGAAGCTGCTGCCGTTTTATTTCATATGAACACATTTATTTTTAATAATTCTCATCAATAGAAAATAACAATAACAATAAAAACAATAATAATGGATTTAGTAAGCATTTTATCACATTATTAATTATTTTGAGCTACGCCCAGTATGAAATGCCACACGTACACGTACACGTACACGTACACATCAGCCCCGCCCAAGCCATACAAGTGCACGTGCCAGAACAAACTTGAGATTTGTGTTGGTCCTGACCCTCCTCGTTGCAAGGGTCAGCCCCGCCTGACTAAGCTAGTTTGCAGCTTAGCCTTGCCTTGATTTCATAATTTGTCATAATTTTAATATAGACTATAGAAGAGCTTCACGTGTCCGAGATCTTCACTGTCAACTTTAGTTTGTAATGGTAGAGTATTTGATATCTGGTGAAACAGCTTATGTTCCCGAGGACGGTCTCACTGCCGGGCAGCTCTTTGCGACCCACGAGGGACTAACTTACAAGTCAGTTAAATCCTGTGGTTTAAATACTTTCATTTTATTGTTTCTTTCTTTTTATTAGTGACTTTCTCATGCTCCCAGGATTTATTGACTTTAGTGCAGAAAGTGTGGTACGTTTTATGACTGATAAAACAACTGACTAATAGAGAGAGAGAGAGAGATAGTGACAAGTTCTTATTGTTCTTACCACTTGTTCTTGTTCAGTGTGTTAGCACTTCAGTTGTGTTAATGAGCTGTTCCTTATCTTAATGTGTCTCATCCTTTACTTCAGGATATGTCAAGTGCACTAACACGTAACCTCAAGCTACAGACTCCATTTGTTAGCAGCCCAATGGACACTGTCACTGAGTCAGACATGGCAATATCATTAGCTGTAAGTGAGGGAAATCCACATAAAATAGAGGGAGAGTGGGATAAATAAAAAGATACATAAGATGCAGATTTCTATTACTCCTTTAGCTAATGGGAGGCATTGGTATAATACATCATAATAATACACCCGAGATGCAAGCAGAGGAAGTCCATAAAGTGAAGGTATGGTCTACTAGTCACATTATTAGTTTATTCCATGATGCTATGTCCTGATAGAAATATAAGCAAGGCTTCATACGGGATCCAGTGTGCATGGGCCCGGACAATACGTTAAAGGATCTCATGGATATGAAGAAATCCTACGGATTTTCTGGAATCCCTATCACAGGTTGGACATAGCCTCTTATTATCATTGATTGTAATATCTCATTTGTAATAGCAACTGGTAGGCTTGGAGGGAAGCTCGTTGGAATAATAACTTCACGTGATGTTGATTTCTTGTCCAGTGATGCTAGAGACAGACCTCTTGGAGATGTAATTGAATTATTTTGCAAATTACTATTCCCTTATTCATTATCAAACAAAAAATGGCTGCTGCAAATCACTCCCCTTTATGCTATGTAGAAAAATAATAGTCTTTTACCAAAATCGACTTCAAAAATCGTCTTAAATTTTTTGTAGAAGCTTGATTTGAATTTTTATGTTTTTTTTGTTAGCTAATGACTCCAAGAGATGAGCTAGTTGTAGCTCAGCATGGCTGTACTTTGGAAGAAGCCAACCATATACTACAAACAAGCAAAAAAGGTGCAATAATTCTACTGTAATTTTTCTATGCGTCATAAACTCGTAATTATTTCCTCTAGGAAAACTACCAATAGTAAATGAGAATGATGAGTTGGTAGCGTTGATAGCTCGTACAGACTTAAAGAAGAGTAGAACCTTTCCTCTTGCCTCTAAGGACAGCATGAACCAGCTTCTAGGTACACGTATAATAATGTCTTTAATGAATATTGTTAGAATGTTCCCTGTTTTACTCTATTTTAGTTGGTGCCGCTATTGGAACATTTGAAGACGACAAGAAGAGATTGGATGAACTGCAAAAGGCTGGAGTGGATGTTGTTGTTCTGGTCAGTCATGCATGTTACTGCATGTCATAATGATTATGTGATTATAGGATTCTTCACAAGGAAATTCTGTATTTCAAATTGACCTCATTAAGCACATTAAGACAAAATATCCCAACCTTCAAATCATAGGAGGGAATGGTAATTGACTTCCTTTGTTTCTTCTCCTTCTGTCTTAGATTCCTTGTATCTCTTCCTCTTTATACTGTTTGTTTCCATCTAGTTGTGACTGCTCAGCAAGCAAAGAATCTCATTGATGCTGGAGTCGATGGCCTGAGAGTAGGAATGGGCAGTGGATCAATATGCATCACACAGGTAAATATTGATATTAAATATTGATGATAAATATTGATAATCGTTCGTCTAAGGGATAATAATTAGTTGTATACCAGTTATCTAATGAGTTTTATACATTATTATTATTATTATTATTATTATTATTATTATTATTATTATTATTATTATTATTATTATTAGGAGGTGCTTGCAGTCGGGAGACCTCAAGGAACTGCCGTGTACAAAGTGTCTGAATATGCTAGAAGATTTGGTGTGCCAGTTATAGCTGATGGAGGGATACAGAGTGTAGGACACATTGTCAAAGGACTAGCCATTGGAGCATCTACTGGTAATCCAATCATACAGACTGTAGTATGAGAATTGTTATTATTATTGTTGTTGTTGTTAGTGATGATGGGGTCTTTGTTGGCTGGTACTACTGAAGCCCCTGGTCAGTATTACTTTCAAGATGGAGTGAGACTCAAAAAGTACCGAGGTAAGTCACTAGTAGTTATTACTATCATAATTATGATAATGACTTTAGGAATGGGCTCACTCCATGCAATGGAGAAGGAGGGAAGCAAGAACAGATATTTCAGGTAGAATCCTGTCTTATTAATGATTAATATATATTATAACATGATATCTAACTATTAGTAATAACGATGAGAAGGTAAAGGTAGCCCAGGGTGTCAGCGGAGCTGTGGTCGACAAAGGTTCTGTCCTCCAGTTTATTCCTTATTTGATTTCAGGTCAGTGTGCTAATTACCAATCACTCAATAGCTGTAATGGAGGCTGTTTTTTGCCTATGAAGTGTTGTGCTGGCTCTCATGAATCTTACATTTACTTATGAATTTACTTATGCATTCTTTTAATTGTCATATTCACATGAAACTTGAATTGTGTGATGCTTACATTGCAATGCTTGCATGTACTACAGGTGTCAAGCACAGCTGTCAAGACATTGGAGCCAAGAGTCTCACTTCGTTGAGGTAAAACCCTTCAAGTAATTCTGATTGTCCATACTACGTCTTTTTTGATTATTTTTAAAAGTATTGTCATTTTTGCTAAAAATGATGATAATAGTAATTTTTTGTGTAGATGTAGATGTAGATGTACATGTATATGTGTACATGTATTAAGGTTGATAATAATTTTGTGTTTGTACTTTGTAGGTCAATGATGTACAGTGGTGAGTTAAGATTTGAAAAGAGAACAAACTCTGCAATTACTGAAGGAGGTGTACACGGACTGCATTCGTTAGTTTCATAATTTTTAAATATAATTATGTATTTTTTTTTATGTTCATTACTGTAGGTTTGAGAAGAGACTTTTTTAATATTGAATATACAGCAAAAAATAAAAATTTAAATGTTTATATTGTTGTATATAAAATTAATAATGACAATCATTTACCTAACCAATCTATCATTATTATTATTATTATTATTATTATTATTATTATTATTATTATTGCCAAAAGTGCATAATACTTTATTTAAAAACTTATTATTAAAAAATTATTACTAAAAAAATTAATTTACATGCACGGATATCTCCGGATACACTTGCTTCAGTTCCGTTTTACTCCACAAAACCCCGCAACTTATGCGGGGTTTGACTAATTTAATTAATTGACTTTTAATTAAATTAATTACAAAATGGCGGCCAAAAGCCTCTACCCAACACTCCCCAGCCCGTCATCCATCGTCCTCTCTAGTGATGAAGAGGATGAATACGAAGAGGAAGAAAGAGAAGAATTGAACGAAGAGCCGCTGGAAGAAGTAGGAGAGGCAGCGAATCAATCAAGAATGAAATCTCAGTCCAGTCAATCTCTCAATGACTTTGAAAATACCTACTTAAAACAGAAAATTAAATTGTCTAAGTCTCGACCAAGTGCTGCTGTTTTAACTGCTCCAATCCTTCGACAGTTTTGTTTTTGGGTGTGGTCATTTGTGTCCCAGTTTCGTTACATCTTTGCTGGTTTGTTTTTGGCGCTGGTCACTGTATTAATATTAGGAGAAGGTCCCGGTAAAGGTGAGGAGAGATATCGTGTGATTTTTTCACATGTCAATTTAATTTTATTTGCAATAGATAACTTGCTTGTTTGTACGTCGGGCAAATTTGAAGTAAACCATTTAATTTATGAATAAAGTTGTTATTATTATTGTTATTATTATTATTATTATTATTTAAATAGAATATTAATATAAATAATTATTCATGATGTATTTTTTTGAGTAGAGGTGTCTAAGTGAAACTGAGAGAAATATTATTCTTCCTTTATCAAAAGAACTAAGAGCATTTCTACACGACAGAGCTGGTACGAACAGAAAGAGCATGATGCTCTCTCCTTCTCTTTTAAATCACATGTCACATTAATGTCTTCCTTTAGGTAGGTTTGAGTGTGGCCAGGACGTCAGTAGAAATGAGACCGTAAATAATTTAAGATCAATTTTATCATCACGTGTACGTTAAAATACATGTACATCACTCATTACATGTGTGTATATGTGTTATACCTTAATTATCATTTTTTGAACATCATCCATGTACACATGGTATTATATTTAATAATTATTGTCTCTAGCATCATAATGCTGAAATAACACTAAAGGACATGAAATTGGTTTCATATTTATTTATTAGCAACCCACATTGGGGCATTAAGTAAGTTTAGAGTATGCTTCTCTCTCTCTCTCTCTGTCTCACTGGTTGTTCCTATTCTCCCTCTAGTATATTAAAGGCTGGTGATGGTAGTCCCATTACTAATGTTGAACTAGGTTTATCTAATACTGATGTTATGGAGTCGTCTAGTCCAAGGAAAACTTTACTGTGTCGACTAAGGCAAACAATTAGTGGAATTTGGAATAGATTAAAATTGCTCTCTTTTGGTATGCAATAGTGACTATGCAATATATAGATGCATATAGATACCCATGCATGGATCCAAATCATCCAACATATTAACTGATTAGGAAATACACTTACTGTACCACCATTGTACAATGTACATGGATTTGCCTAATGATTGTAGTATTATTACTAGTAAGGTATTATTGATACTTGGAACTGTCTCTTTATTTCCAGGTCTTCTTCTTGCTCTGGTTTTGGGTGTTTTCATTAGTTGGTACTACAGTAGGAGGAAGGCAGAGATGAAATCAGTTTATTTACTTGTTAATGACATCACAGGTACATGTACATGTATTTATGCATACATAATATAATCAATTAATCATTTATTATCTACTTTTGAGTATATGCATTACTTTATGATGCTCTCATTGCTCAAATTAAATTCTATAAGTTACATATTGTAGCCATTTTCTTTTTGTTTTAATTCTTAGAAGTATTAAAGGCTCATTATCGTAAGTCCAGTCACAATGATAAGGTCCTGCCTTATGTTGCTATTGTTCACGTGAGGGATATGCTCATACCTCCTTCTGAAAGGTTAGTAATAGATACATGTATATGTACATATGTGACCATAATTGACAAAAGGTACCTTATAGCAGGTAGGGAAATTTGACTTTATAGCCAAAAAAATCCAACTTCCTGAGCTTCATTTATCATAAAATTACTCCACAGGATGCAAAAAGTTACTATGTAACGTTTAGAAACAATGCTTGTCTAACAGAGGACTCACAGGATGATATTTTTCATTTTGATGATGAATTTTAAAATCCGCCATAACGTACCTTTTGTCAATTATGGTCACATATATATAACACATGCATCTAGCTTCAAGGGATGTATTGGATATACGCCGAAGATAATAATAGCATATTAATAATTTATTATCAAAGAATTTTTTCATTTTCTGATGCATATTGGTGTCCTTATGCCATGTAGAAAGTTTGAGCTGTTTCCAAATTTTCAACAAATATTTTGTGAGTTATGAACATTTTAAAAACAAGCCAATTTTTTAACAATACCCTGTACTATATATAGCCCATGGTTTTTTTTCAAAAATGGCTCTGAAATCACCCCCCATTTTTATTACATTTTCTGATACATATTGATACCTTTGTGCTATGTAGAAAGTTTGAGCTGATTTGGATAAATAATTTTCAAGTTATGGGCATTTTTTAAAATGAGCCAATTTTCAGGAAAAACCATGGGCTATAGTCCATGGTTTTCTCCAAAAAATGGCCCCAAAATCACCCCAAATTTTTATTACATTTTCTGATACATATTGATGTCCTTATGCTGTGTAGAAAGTTTGAAGTGATTCTGACTTCAATTTTTCAAGTTACAACCATTTTAAGAAAGTGCTAAAATTCTGAAAAATACCCAAGGCTATATATATAGTCCATGGTTTTCTCCAAAAAATGACTCCGAAATCACCCCAAATTTTTATTACATTTTCTGATACATATTGATGTCCTTATGCTGTGTAGAAAGTTTGAAGTGATTCTGACTTCAATTTTTCAAGTTACAGCCATTTTAAGAAAGCGCTAAAATTCTGAAAAATACCCAAGGCTATAGTCCATGGTTTTCTCCAAAAAATGACTCCGAAATCACCCCAAATTTTTATTACATTTTCTGATGCATATTGATGTCCTTATGCTGTGTAGAAAGTTTGAAGTGATTCCGACTTCAATTTTTCAAGTTACAACCATTTTAAGAAAGCGCTAAAATTCTGAAAAATACCCAAGGCTATAGTCCATGGTTTTCTCCAAAAAATGGCTCCGAAATCACCCCAATTTTTATTACATTTTCTGATACATATTGATGCCTTTATGCTATGTAGAAAGTTTGAATTAATTTCGACAAATATTTTTAAAGCTATGAGCAATTTTTAAAATAAGCCAATTTTTTGAAAAAAGCAAAGGCTATAGCCCATGGTTTTTCCCAAAAAATGGCTCCGAAATCACCTCTCATTTTTATTACATTTTCTGATACATATAAATGTTGTTGTTATGTCGTTACAACTAGAGCCATGAGTCCAGGTGCCATCTGCTTAACACACAATGTAGACTAGACTACAATCACTACATGCACTCACTGAAAACCATATAAATGTTATATGGTAAAAATGTAAATGTTTATATGTAGAAATTGAGTTGATTTTGATGAAATTGCATGTACGTACATGTACACGTGTTCATGACATAATCCAGTGGTTTGTTTATTAATAATGAGTTGGTGCCTCTTGTCTGTCACTGGTTTGTGGTCATAGTTCCTCTCTCAAAGACGCCACTACAAACACAAGGATTTTATATGAAATACTGTTTTGTCTGGACCTAATAATCCTCTCTTTTGTGTCTCTATTACTTAACTCTGTCCTCCATTCCATTGCAGTCATTATACATGATACTACAAGACATAAATATTGACATTAAGTTTTGCATGTTTTTTTTGTACATATTTCAGATAGCATATCATTCCCTTTTTCCCTCTTTTTTTTGTTTCATTTTAAGCATTAATACCATGTAACACATGACTTCCATACTGTAGTGTTTTGAATCAAGTTTGCACACATGCAAGTAGTTCATCATCCTACACCATATACTTTATCAAACAGTCAGTCTTTGTTTGAAAACATCATCCGGTGTTTGTAAAACAATATTTGAAGGGTAAACTCCTACCTGATGATATTTAATGTGTTTACTAGTCAATTTGGGAGCATCAGCCTAATAATACTAAAACCACCAAGACATATGATGACATTTTATTATTTAAAACCACATATCCCAGTGGGCTGTATTATTATTGTATGTGAGGGGGTTTCACTGTCCTTCATTGGCTTTCATTGGTTTTCAGTGAGTACATGTAGTCTAGCCTACATACATGTACATGGTCTGTTATGCAGGTGGCCCCTGGTTTCATGGCTCTATAGTTATAATTACATTAGTATGAATTATTCAAAACAATGAGGACTTTGTCAAAAATTCCCTGTATTCATGGCATAGCCCAGTTGGCACTGTTATGTATTGTGATTCTTTGGGGACAAAAGAGTGAGGGCTTACTTGTGTTTTGCCTGTTACAAATGGTTTTAATTGAAATTGCATTTCTGCTAAACTTCAATTACATGTAATTGTTATTTACAAGACTGACCTTGTTACTTGTATTGTTGTATCTGCATGAGCTGTTATTCATTGTAATCCAATCAACTTTAACCTTTTAGCCAATATCAATACTAAATTACATGTACACATCTGTACATGTACATGTATAGTCCTAAGTCCATTGATGTAGCACTATTGTAATTATTTACCAATTACATGGTAATTTCACTGTTATGATGTATTTGCTGTATTTAAATTACCCTGCAGTAAGAAGTTATGCAAACACAAAGTCACATTCATGACTCGGTTGAACAGCGAGTGTCGTATATCATATCTCAATCCAATTACTTGACCAATAATGCATACTACCGGCCGCCCCACAACAGCTAGTAATAGGAGACCAGGGCTTCAAGATATCTGCCTAAGGCTATAATTTCTATGTATATTTATTGTGTTTCTTTTTTCTCTTTTAGACATCGTAAGGAGAAATTATGGGACAAAGCTGTATTGTGGATAGCTAACAATGAGAGTCGAGTGAGGGTTGAGACAAGAATGATATCAGGGGAGCAGTACAGCGTCTGGAACTGGGTCCAACCAGAACCACCTCCTACTGAGGTACAGTGTATATGCGATATTAGAAGTACATCTATATTATCATCTTATCATTGATATCACATGTACATGTACACATGTATATTACCTACAGGGATTCCAACAAAGTATGCTAAGTGAGTTTGGAAGCTTTTTGGGGCAAATTTAAAATTTGTAAAAAAATCCAATTTTGATCAGAATTAGTTTAAACTTTCTACATAACTTAAGAACATGTATATGATATCAGAAAAAATTATAAAAATGAAGAATTCTGTTCTTTTCATTTTTGGCGAAATTTGGCCAATGTTTCTGTGCTATTATAGTATGGAACTTTGGCCCAATTTTTGAGCAACTTAAAAATATTTTTGATTAAAATCAGCTAAAAATTTCTAAATAACACGCATCAGAAAGTTATAAAAATAGACAATTTTTTTCTAGCTGTACTACATGTATTATGGTAAATGATTTTTTTTGTCAAATAAAAAATGTACTGGCAAGGTGCTGAGCACTATTCCAAAATCCTGTGGGAAACCTGATTATCTATTATTGTATCTATTTTATCCTCCTGATATTATCAAGATCTCTATGTATACATGTAATTAGTACTGTGATGTATACTTTTATTATGATACTTTTATGAATGAACTTATACCTCTACTGTAGGAGGTTGATGGTGCTCGGATGTTGTCAGGTGGTGTTGGTTCTAGTGGCCCTGATCCCAGTGCTTGGCCTGGAAGAGGTTGGCCATTACTATTACTATTTTTATCTCTCTAACACTCTCTGCTGTTTGTTTTATTATTCTCCTTTCCTGTTTTCTCTCTCAGCATTTGAAGAGTATCCTCCTGACTTAGAAAGTAAGATAGCTCCTCCTCTTGGCACACCCTCTCCTTGCGTTAGACTCAAAAATGTCTTCCAGCACATCAAGTAAGCATATGTGACGTACATGTACATGTACATGGACATGGAGACTTAATATATACGTGGACACTTAATATGTATAGGATTGTGTAAATGTTTTTTAAAGGCATCACATACAATGTAACTGCATATGTGTATAGTTATATCAACAGATGGTTCTTCCTTATACTATGAGTTTGTTCGTACATGTACATGTATGGTGTATGCTATTAACCACTGGCTCACCTGTCAACTATTACCCAACACTTGTACTTGTAGTACTTTTAAGAACTGGCAATTTGTCTCAAGGCAGGCCCTATACTGACATCATTCCCACTAGTACTTGTACAATGGACTCATTTAGGATTCCTTCCTTTATTATTGAATTAGCCTGTTCATTAGAATCACTTAGTGATTAAGATGCTCTTTTACTGATGATAAAAATGAAACTGCTCCATCTGTATCAGTGTACAGTAGGTGTAAGTTGATAGCTTTTTCCCATCAGTGTCTCATATTGTTCCATTCATTTGAGACTGCATGTGGAGTTCCAAGTTATGATAGTCACTTCTTTGGTACAAGAAGGGGGATTTTGTCTATTAGGTTAGTGTGTGTTGGGATCATGTTTGACACGCCTGTATTTGGTTAGTGTCTCTTTCATATTGTGAAAAGGTGCTTACCTCTATCATTCTCCCCCTCTCTCTTCCTCTCTCTCTTTCACTTGTTCCTCTACATGGTCATATGTGTATAAATTTTCTCAGATAATAATATTCTCTATCAACTGATTTAACTTATATTTTTATAGCATCTCATCTCCCATATGATTGACTGTATTTATAGCCATGCAGCTTTATGCATAGGCTGACATTTTATAAGAATCATAACGTAAATAATTATATAGAGTATACGAAATCCCCTACTGCTGATACTGCATGTAGCACTCCACTACAATAGCTAATTGTTTAATCATATTATAGTATATTTACATACATACGCTAGCTGGCAGAGTGATGCCTAAACATATGTTCATTTATTTGATTCTAATCTCTTATGGGGTCCTTTGTCTCTATGCTTAGTGTCTCTGTTATGTCTGCCTAGTAAAGCCATATACCAACTAAAGGTGGCAGTGCTTCCTCTCCTTGTTTGTTATCCTCTTCGTTTCCTTTTTGATTCCCCATCACTTTTACTCTATTTTTTATTTATCAGTTCTGTGTCAACTAATAACAGGGAATTTCTTATCCTTAACTTGTTTTGTAAAAAAGCATAAACTTATACCCATTATACTATGTGCAATGATATTTGTGTCCTCTCTTCGTCATAATGATTATATTTTTTCTCTTCTCCCCCTCTCTCTCTTTTCTTCTTTCCTTTAGCCACTTGCCCGAGAGTGAGAGCAATGAGATCAGAAACTGTGTTCTTGAGAGATGTCGTCACATTGGACCCGTTGTTCACATATACATTGACAAGAGATCCCCACATGTAAGCAGAGATTGAGACTTGAGAGAGACTCCGTGTGTGTGTGTGTGTGTGTGTGTGTGTGTGTGTGTGTGTGTGTGTGTGTGTGTGTGTGTGTGTGTGTGTGTGTGTGTGTGTGTGTGTGTGTGTGTGTGTGTTGTTATTGTGTACATGTAGGGCTTGACAAGTTGTGTGTGTGTGTTTTTGTGTCATTGATATTTGATAGTGCACGAATGAGACTATCATTTTCTACTGAGTCTGCACATATTGTGTGTTTCATTCACATTTTCCCTAGCACAGTATCAGCCTTGTGCTGTACATGTGTTTATTAGATTTTTAATACTTTGAATTTCAATTTTATACACTTGTGGGAAAGTTTTAAACTGAAACAAGTACACAACTGACATGTACATGTACATGTATATTCTGCCAGACTGCCAGTCTTAAAATTACATTAATTTGAGTCAAGTGATGATATTATACCTGATACACAAAGCATGGTGGCTGTGTATTTACAGTGATGGGATGGACTATTGTGCACTAGTAAGGCCCGGCTATGAAAGGGAAGCCATTTACACACTAGTGTCCCTCCTGTACTGTTGATGAGCTGTATTGGAATGAATGATGTGAATCAGGAGTCTCTTATCAAAGCCTGTGTACATAGCAGTCTTGTTTATAAGCTCTCAAGTGTAGTGATTCCCTTTTCTCTGGTATTTTTTATAGCTGTTGTAATGTGCTGGTACCATATCCCTCCATAAGGGAGAGTGTAGGCTGTTTTTTTAATAGCATAACATAGTATTTTATAGTATACTAGTGGGCTATAATGCCCCTTATTTTTGGGGGTTCTCTTACTATTGGTAGCTCTATTGGTTGTCAATCCTTTTTGTCAGTATTGAAAATATAATTGTGTTAATAATTGTAACTTGACATCATGTTAGCATTACTATACAGCTTTTGATCGTTCATCCTTCACTTTATTGATATTTTAAATAATAATTTGATAATACAGTGAGATCAGACATACTTAACTTCATTGATAATAATCCTATTCCTCAATAATGTAATTTAAGGAGCACTACTATAATTACTGACACATATTCATCATTGACTGTGTTTTGTGTCGCAGTTTGTTCCAGTTCCTGTCTTCATCTTGTTTCCTCTTGTTTACAAGCACGTTACACTCTCCAATGACTGCATGAACTCTCTTATAAATCTCTTATGATACCTATGTTATGCCCCCTCATCATAAAAGGACTTGCACTGGATACAGTGTCTGTACACATGGTTTGATGTTGGTTTGATGTCCATGTATGGTCATTAAGATGTGGTTGGACCTGTTTAAGGCACAGAGACCATTATATCAGTGACAGCTGTCACTCAAAAATACACACTACTGTTGTCATTTGTACAGTGTCTGCTCCAGAGTACTGAGTACATGTACATTTATAGTGTCCTGTATAGTACATGTTTACAATTATGATTATGTTTGGGTTCTGTAGCCTGTTATGTTTGTATGTATTTTTCTATATGACAGTCCAATGATTGTTATCTGTTTTGAACTTCACATTGTCTATGTATACATGTACATGAATGCATGAACATCAAAGGGACTATTGCTGATAGTCCTTGAAATGAGGTAATGTTTGACTTCTTTGTCTCCTCTATTTGCTTTTAGGGTTGTGTGTACTTCAAGATGGAGTCCCTTGCATCTGCAAAGGCTGCATATAAAGTGCTTCATGGCAGCTGGTTTAAAGGTAATGGATACTCATTGTAATGTAGACATATCATTCCCATCACTCACTTACTGTACATTATACATGTATATTTATACATGTAGAGCATATTATATACATGCACCCTACTAGTACTGATCCATTCCTTGTGTAATGTTTATTTCTCTCTCTCTCTCTACCACACAATTACACTCTTTCACACATGTACATGTATGTGTACATATACATAAGAGGAAGTGGTATTTTCCTGGGGTATTCCTACAATATCATAATAATATGTGAACCACATAATACTTATACATATTATATGCATCCTATCAATTTGGCTTCATTTGAACTAAAGGAAGGGGATATGGTGACCTAGTGACATCAAGGAATGCTTGCATTCATTCCTAACGTTGGGTTTCCTGTTCCAATTGTGATATATGTACAAGAGTAATGGTCTAATGGTTGCTGTGATACATAAGAATGTTCAATTAATTCATTTACACAACATGCATCACATTGCATCACATTACATCACATTGCATCACATTACATCATATTGCATCACATTGCCCTATAATCATGATACTATGTATGTAGATACTTATCATACATGTACCTCTTGTACTACAAATTCACAATCTCATTATGATCCATGATGATGTCATTTTACACAATTACTTTATTATTCATAACCCAGTTACATTATCAGTCATTCCTATACACTGTCCATGGCAAAGGACAGCATTCATAGACTCTAAACTTTAAATGATGATATGTAAACTGTTTATTTGATTTAAATCATAATTAGTATATGGTATATATCAATATACATCTATACTGTACTGTATTAATACGGTAGTAGCAGGAGTACATAAAAGATCATGTACTGTAGAGTGCTGTTAATAGTACCTTGCAATATATATGTTATAGTAATGCAATAGTATAGTAATAGTATAATACAGTATGGACGAGTTGGTGATTCATCATTCCAAGTGTATATCAGCCTGTTTGTATCTCCATCTCTCACTCAATAGCTGTGCTAATGAGATATATACAACATGGGCGCAAAAAATTCAATATTAGCTCACAGCATTTATTTTCAATTAGCTTGTCCACTTCATTGTATTCCCATTGTCAGGGGAACATATGTCAGATAGACACCACAACCTAGTATCATCTCTCCCTTTCTAATATTTAATTCAGGTATAGTACATGTACATATAGTGTAGGCAAGGTTCAAGCTATACACCTGTATCTAATTATGTGTATAGTACTATTGAGTTTATGCTTGCATGTGAAGGTCTTCTATTTTTGTATGGATCGTTGCCTTGTTATTCCCTTAGTTGGTTGCTTTTACACTGCACTCGCTGTCTTAGACCATACTACATGTATATTACATCATCATGAAGTAAAATGCTAGTAATGTATACCATATTTCCTCGAATAGGGGGGCCCTACTCAAATAAAACGCCTATCACTAATATATTACCACTATAGATACGCATATTTGATCCAGTGTTATGTGCCCTTGTGGTTAGAGTGGTACAAATAGCCTAATTGTTCATCCTTAGTCTTCAGAACATAGAGTAGCGGGTTTGAGCCCGGGTTTTGGCACTGTTTTATTTTTATTTTTTGTGATTTTTGCCTCTGTTAAGCAATAAACGCCTAAGCCCTTATTCGAGGAAATACGGTACTTTAGATAACATACCCGTACATGTAGATTCAGTACACATGCATGCGGGTACTGTATGTGTTTCAATATGCTGTAATAAGTAGCAACAGTAGAGTTTGACTGCTTTGTAACTCAGCAATAAACAGCTAGTGATATGCTTGCATGTGCTATACTTCATAGCTTAGCTTATGTGTCTATGTGCTCTTGTCACGTATGTGTATGTACAATGTACAAATATGCTAAGTTTTATCATTAATATTTAGTCTCAACTGTCCTTGCTACTTCTTTCACTAAGAGGAGTCTAGACATTACCGGCATGTTGTGAATAAACTGATGAAGTCACTCATAACTGCCTCTGGGGGAGCATACATGTATATACGTGTACCTTATAGCTAGTAGAATCAAGTATATATTGACCTACGTTTGTATGTATCACAAGCGTATTATCAACATTTTGTGATGTCGTTATTTTGTCACAGAGCCCATACCCGTGTCCTCCATCACGTAAATATTACACGTTACATTTTTATCCAATTGCATTTGTCATTGAACTCCTCTTTGATTTCCCAAACTAGGTCGATTGATAACGGCAAAGTACATACCGGAGTCAAAATATTACAAATGGTTTCCTAAAGCATCAACAGCTTCGTCCTCTCGATTTTGATTGCAGACTCGCAAACAAACAGACTGTAAGAAAAGAAGAAAGAACCCAAACACACACTTAACTATCGTACATGTTTCCCTGTTTCGTGTACTTGTTTTGGTTCCTCTGTTTGATTTTTGATAATCTCATAATCATCTCTCTTGTTATTCTTTCCGTCGCCAGCCGCGCTCTTAGATCTAGTGAAAGCTGTAAATTTTCTTGTACCAAAAATTCGAGTTATTTAATATTTTTAGAGCAGAGAGATCACGTCATGTGTGGTCGATGTTTTTTGAAGCATTGATCTTTATTGCTATTGCTCACGTCCTGTGGTATGGTACACTAATTGAACTCTATGACAACTCTGTACATGTACATCTACAAGTATATTGAATATCAGATAGCTTCCTAATGTCCTCCACTCTTTAAATTAGTAGTATTGTGTGTGAGTTAATTGTTTATTTACATTCAGTGTGTGTATGCTAGTGATTATCAGGTCCTTTCTGTTCACTATTATCGCTAGTGCCTAGCAAAAGGATGTACCATTCAGGCACTCCTTACCACCTCCTTCTCATCTTCCTTCCTTGTTATCACAGCTTCTTATAGTATCACTGTCACTGATAGTGCCCACTGTAAATAAACAGATCTTATAATATGGCTGAGGAATACATGTATGTACATGTACATGTACAGTACTTGGTAATGTATATGTAACTGTATATCTGGGCCAGCTGGGCCAGTAATGAATACTAGTGATAATAGATGCTATTAATCAGTTAAAGATTTTAAATTTTTTTTAAAAAGATATTTTTATGGTGCATTAACTGTTTTTGGCGTGACCTCATGTACAGAATTCCAATCATGATGAAATGAATTTTTGTCCTATTATGCGTCTTTTATTGAAGTATGGGAGGGCGTCATTCCTCCACCACCTGTGCGTGTCTGGTTGTTTATATGCTCCCTCATTTATAGTCCATGCATTATTGCCATGCCTAGCTCTTTAATGATGTAATCCTTTTGTGATAGGCACACAAACATTCCTTATCAGCTTTCTCACTAATTCATTTTTAAGCCCTGCTTCTCAGCTGGTGTAGGATTCCAATATGGCCTCTGCTTTTCTCAAGATGATACATATGCATGCATGAAGTTTAGACTGGGCCTTTGTGTGTGTGACTAATTAAATACGTACATCAAACGGTTTGATGGGGCACATACCTATCACACATCATCATGTATATGTGTACTAGCTCTAACAGCTGTCGATCGATATGCAATCACTGTGTGTGTGTGTGTGTGTGTGTGTGTGTGTGTGTGTATGTATAGATATGCAATCACTGTGTGTGTATGTGTGTGTATGTATAGCCTTTGACTCACTTCCCATAATATTGTAGTATTATATTACATGTGTCCTTATGTATCATATATTTGTTTATATTTCTCTGTGTTCTCAACCATTATGATTCACACACACCATGCTTGTATTATTTGGTCATCCTTCTGGCAATAATATTATCTGCTGATTCTCATCTAGTATAGAGTACTATTAACAATAGTACCCACTACTTACTAACTGGCTGTTATCCACTCTCTATGAATGAGACTTGCACTTGTACTATTCAAATAAGGCACTATGAAATATAGCTTAATAGCAACCAGGAGTGTATTATTATTATTTCGTATTACTATATTTTAAAAAATTGAAACCTTGTTCTATAGCCAGCTGTACTATTATAATTGGGCTTGCCATGACTTGTAAGTGGCCAAGGATAATTAATACTATTCGTATTCATTGTGGCATCGATTCGGTGTATACTATATTGCGTGGTTATACTATTATAGCTCTGATTCATTCTCTTACTAATCCTGTTACATGGTCTGATCAGACAACACTGTCTAGTTCACATACAGTATAAATATAGCATCGCTTGCATTACATGTACTCCTATTGTATTGATAATATTATGTTTCTTTGAAGTTTAAACCTTATTGTGGTTAGCCTTCATATGGCATCTACATGTTGAGGTAGTACTCTACTAATTACTAAACATGTTGTTCATGACTGTGTGACTGTTTGGTTGCCATGTACATATACGTACTTGTGCATATAATTGTATGATTGTGTGATGCAACCACATTGTTTTGCTTTTAGCTGAACATGAGCATGGTCAACAGCCCGTGAGTATTTAGATTCACACCCTTCACGCACATTTGTACCCTCACTTACTCTTTACCTAACCCCTCCTTCCCTCTCTGTCTCTCTCTCTGTCTCTGTCTCTCTCTGTCTCTGTCTCTCTCTGTCTCTGTCTCTCTCTCTGTCTCTCTCTGTCTCTCTCTGTCTATCCCTCCCTCCCCCCCTCTCTGTCTATCCCTCCCTCCCCCCTCTCTCTCTGTCTATCCCTCCCTCCCCTCTCTCTCTCTCTCTCTCTCTTCCTTTCACCAGTATCTCAATGACTCACATAATTTACATAATTTGACCTTGTCCTATGCAATAGTGTGTCTGTGTCAGCATTTCATCATCCTTGCCATTACAATGCACATTTGTACATTTCCTTTAGTGTGTTATGCTGCTGGTTGACTCTCCCACTGAATCTAATTACACCTTGTTTGGGATATAATAGACTGCCCTGTTGCCTGCCTGCTTGCATAGCCCTAGCTACCTGTCTCATATAAGGACATTATATTTATTAATGATATTATATTTTTTAATGATATTTTGTGTCTTGGGCATGTCATCTTGTAATAGAGTCCATTCCTTTTCTATTCGTTTTGTAGCGGTCAGAATTTCATTATATCAAATTGTTTTGAAAATCTGAACTGTGTACGTGATGTGTGGGCATTTACTACTCCATCATGATATATTCCTTTTTCATCTTTGACTAGCCCATCATTTAGGAATCTCCATTATTCATGTTACAGAGGCGGCATAATTGAAATAAATGTAATCATTCATTCACTGTCAAACCACACTCATTCATTACTGTATTATATTCATGGCAAGATAATACCTGCCTATACATATAAAGCTAAAAGTGGAGGGAGGGAGTGGTAATGCAGCTGTGTGCTTTTCATAATCAGATACACTGTGGCTTAGCTGTGGTCTCCTATACTTGTATAGGAAGCTATCTTTTGGTGGTTGTGCCCTTGTCTATACCCAGACTGTCTTGGTTGAATATAAACAAATGGTGTATCTGTATTGTTTACCATACTTCATTTCATGCATTGTGAAGCAGGTACACCTCTGCTTTATTTAGTGGTCCCATTGATCACCTTTGTTCCTTTTGTTATCATTGAAAGCTCATGATAACACATTATAAATACATGAGTCACATGATTGTGTGTGTATGTATAATTAACTTCATGTAACTGTACACTGTAGCATTAACATATTCAGGGATTCCAACTTTTAGCACTGTGCTCATGTAAATGCAGCTTCTTGTCAGTTTATTGTCAAGTTGCTCAGAAATTGAGCCAAAGACCCTGTACTATATATAGCACAGGGAGTTTGGTCAAATTTCGTCAAAAACTGGTACAAGATAATTTTTCATTTTTATAATTTTTCTGATGCATATGCATGTCCTTATGTTGTATATCAACTTTGAGCTGATTCAAATCAAATTTGGATTTTTATGAATTTTAAAAGTTGCTTGAAATGCCATGTGCTGTATTGCAGTGCTAGTCAGACTCTCATGAAGCTCGTGCTGTTTAGCTCACTTAGCATTAGTAGGGTTCATGGAAAACCCTGAGCATATTCCTTGCCTTTGTATGAGAGAATAAAATGCCTCATCATCATTCTGACTAGGTTACAACATTCCCTTAAAAAGGGATTGTGGGAGACTTCACTTCAATAGTCTGTACTGTTTGTTTTCAATGGCATTACAACTTGCTTATTCAGGCATTGATATTAACCCTGTATCTTGATAATGGGTCATATGCCATGTGCATGCTCTTTTAGGGCAAGTTTAGGCAATGCTTCACTACCTCACAGGAAATATAGTAAAGTGTATCTGAAAAGCAGCTTAGCATATACCGAGTGGGTAGTATATTAGTAATGTGTATATGTACTGGGTGATACAGGATGCACTATATGCAGTGTGTATTTTATTTGTGGGAGTATTGGGGGAATGACATCAGTGGGGAGAGATGATATTTCCTGTCTGATTATACTGTTTCCTGGTAAATACACAGCCTCTCTTTCTTCTTATAAGATTATTTTTAATGTTCTCAATTCAATGGAACAAGGAAGAATGATTGTTAGCAGTCCAGAGTCCACCTGGCCCCTTTATGCAATATTATTAGGGACATTGGTTGACACTTTGTATCTATTGGACTTTGGACAGTGGCTTGTGTAGTGTTTATTTGATGGGTTATATTGTTCAATAAAGGCTTCGTAATGGAATAATGTGAAGGGATGAAATTCGTGACATACTTGCATTAGGATCACTCGTATAACTAAATAAAAGAATGGCATTCTGTTATGGTTTCCTTATTATTTTTGTTGTCGTATATTGACAATCTTAACAATGCATTTCAATACTTAATATAAAGAGTAGGGCTGTTGAGAGCATGGAAACAACCCTTTATACAATGTCTGGTAGAATAGCCAAAATATTTGGCAACTAGAAGGCACACATTTTGTGTGTGTGTGTGTGTGTGTGTGTGTGTGTGTGTGTGTGTGTGTGTGTGTGTGTGTGTGTGTGTGTGTGTGTGTGTAGTATATATATATATGTTAATGTTATGAATATCTAATGAATTATTGTTTAATGATTGTGTACCTGGGGCTTATTTGTACCCAAAGAGATTATTACCTCTTTGCCCTCATTTTCAAAATGCTTGTTGCCTGCCCCAGCAAGCCCAGACTTGTTATGCATTCTAATTGGTATAATATTAGCACTGGATTCTATAGAACAGTCTGGATGGTTTTAATTACCTGAGTCAGCAGCTAGCATAACCTTTATGTAAATGCCAACGGTGCAAAAGCTGCTGATATGAGCATGCAAAACAAAGCCACTACAATAACCTACACGTTGCGCGATTGCTGTAATTTGATTGGTCGTGTTTGAGGACCCGCCCCATTACGTCACCGTTGTGAATAGTGATAAAAGGACTCTAAGAAAGAAAGACAAGAGAGTGAACTGTGAAAAGAAGCGAAGTCAGTTTATATCGGCCGTGTGTCCAGCTCTGTGACTCTCTAGGTATTGTGCCACCTGTACTACGTAAAGAAAGAGAACATGAAGATCGAGTTAGCTTGTGCGTGCGAGTTTTTGGCGAGGATGATGCTAAGCAAGAACCTTCCCGTCCAATTCATCAAGCCGTTCTCTGAGAGACTGGGAGAGCTCTTAGAGAAGAAATACAAGAACCACTGGCATCCCGAGAACCCGAGGAAGGGGAGCGCTTACCGCTGCATTAGGATAAACGGGAAGATGGATCCTGTACTTAGCGAGGCAGCAAAAGTGACCGGGCTCTCTAACATCTCTCTCTACCTTCCCAGGGAATTCACAATGTGGGTCGATCCTAACGAGGTCTCGTACAGATTCGGCGAAGAAGGCAGCATATGCCAGTGCCCACTCTCGACCTCGAACCAGGAAGAATTCCCATTCACTGAGAGCCTCCACCAACACAAGTCATGTGCTGAATGGTCATCAAAGAGTGTGGAACATTCTCGACCTTCTATATTTGACATGCTCCCTTCTAGGATCTCGGCAACGCCTCTAACGTACGAGAGACCAATCAGTGTCCAAGTATAAATCCTGTACACACGTCCTCTCGTATATTATATTATCACGATTATTTTCAACATTTTCATTCAAACCAGAGACCAATAATGATATTATCTATTATAATTAATTGTTCTTTTTATCAGGAATTTTCAGGTCACCTATCTATACTCTTATTGCACTAATTTTCCCGACCATTCATTGCTGTCTTTCTCTCTCTCTCTCTTTATGTGTGCCTCTCTCTTTCTATCATACTATTTCTTTTTTCCTTATGCTTAATATCACTGCTTTCTGTGTATTATTATGGAAATGTATTGTCAGCCCTCCATTATCACTGTTAAAATAATAAAAATTCTGCCAATTTAAACATCATTATTATAGAATGGGATTATTTGGGTGGGTGCAGGGAAGCTACCATTCCCTTGTGAGTTGTGACTGAGAGTAGGACAATAGAGCCCACACTTACACCTATGAGACACACCTAGACTACCCCATTGACTACATAGTCAGACTCTTACACATAAGACATAATTCAACCTCATTTGCTATATAATATGATATTATGTATCTTAGTTAATGTTACTATCATTTCCTCCAGACATCATTTATTACTCTACATGATATTTTTGTCAACAGACACACAGGCCTCTTGTGTGATGCAATGTTTTGAGACTGTCATGGTAACAAGACAGGTAGAGTGGATCACTCTAGTCCTTTGGTGGTGTCACTCCATGAATCCTTTATCCTATTCTCATTGTTGGGGGATAAGAATATTCACGACTTGTAAAGCTAAGAAATGATTAATGAATGGCACGTCTTTATTTGGTAGCGACTTGATATTCAGTCTTTTGTCAAAGTCATTATAACAGAGTCATTGTCTGTGTAACTCTCTCAAGAACATTCATGACCTTACTCTCTCTATTGTGTTAGTCTGCCTGTGTTAGGACAGTAGTTGTTATGACAATGATCATACTCACTATCAACTTTAAGCTTTGTAGTGCTGACTGATATCCTCCTTTGCATTGACAGACTGCTAATGCCTCCAACAGGATACATGCAAAGATTTCCCTTCCTTTGTTTACTGAAAATATTAGCATTATGATACATAATGAAATTTCCTACTTATACTAAATAATATAATACAACGCTAATGTACTCACACACATATACACACACATGATTGTGATCATAAAACAAACACATTTTAGTTAGCTTATACTAGACACTCAAGTTTGTCATATCCTTTCACAAAAAGAAGATAAAAACAATACCACTGTAGGCCGTTGCGGGACACCGTCTCCCTAAAAATTGCAAAATGAAAACTTTCACTTTTGGCAATGACGTAATGATTGGTTATGAATGATGTCACAAAGGCAGAAAAAGCTTAAAACAACTTTAAAGATTTTAAATATTTGGCCTAAGGTATCTATCTCATCACAAATGGTTAGGAGACTGTTTTTGTTACATTTTAAAAATTTAAATACACATTTCAATGTCTATATATAACAACTAACAAGTTCAAGTTGGTTCCATCAAAATAATTGGATTCTAAGGAATTGTCAAATTTGCTTTGGTCGAAAGAGGTGCACAACATTCAAATGTTTTGCGTGAAAAGTCATACACTAGAGTCAATAGTCACTGACTACTGCCAATGCTATTTGCTAAATGGTGCAAAAGGAGACCTCAATTTCCTCTTACTCACAATGTTAATTAGTGTGAAGAGAATGACATACTAATAAAGCACAGGTGCAAATGTGCCAACACATCATTACTTTAGGTGAAGTTTAGAAGGTATTCAGGTGTGATTTTTAAAAATTGGCAATCACATGCATAGCATGCACTCCTTTGATGAATAATGACGTGAACACATTCCCATTTGTACTCTTTATAATTAACTCACATGTCTCTGGATTGTACGTGATTGTCAATAGCAAGAGCCTCAGTAAATGTCATATTGAGATACGTCAAGTAATAGGCTCCACTTACTTCTCCTGTTCTATCAGTGCCAGCCTATTGTTATAATAATTATTATTAACTGTTTTATGCATCAGTTTCATTTTCATTACTTCACAGTGAGAGTATATGACAACAGGGCCTTGTTGTTTTAACTGAGTGTGTAGAAATGACGCTAGATTTGGCAGTTGATCAACTGAGAGATCTACACGTTCTTTTACAATGTCCTATAACAACATGAATGATAAAATATAACTCATAATAGAGGCTACTTAGCATCAATAGGAAGCAGCAGCTGCCTTGCTACTATAAAGCTTAGTTCAAAGGTGCAGCGGAACAAGAATTAAGCATACTTTCAGATTAGAACATAATGTGTGTAAAATCTCCCCTTCACACTATATGGTGGACCCTTAGCCTATTATGCATACAGTCATTATGTCCAAATGAATATAGGCTGGGGAGTGGTCTGGCTTAATTGCAATATAACAGTACTAAGTTTGAGCTGATTCCGATTAAAATTAGATTTCTTTTACATATTTTTTAAGTTACTCAAAAATCGGGCCAAAGACCTTGTACTATATAGTACAAGTTTTGCCAAAGATAAAAAGGAGAAAATTCTCCATTTTTATAATTTTTTTCTGTTGTATATACATGTACTTATGTTGTGTAGAAAGTTTGAGCAGATACTGATCAAAAATGAATTTTTAATAATTTTTTGAAGTTACTCCAAATGCTATACAAATTTTCTAACAATTATACTATAATTGTAGAGCTTGTCAGCTCATGAAGCTCATGCTGTTTAGCTCACTTAGCATGCTTTGTGGAAAGCCCGGAGTAGCTTCATAAACAAAGAGAGATTGCTAGTTTCTGTTTTAAAAGTAAACAGCCATGTTGTTCTAACATATGGTTCTGTGTGTGTTTGTGTGCGTGTAGACAGCAAATCTGTTACCTTTAACAGTTTTGTGTCATTTTGTGGTGGAGGAAACGGAGTACCAACAATCACTCTATTATAAAATGAGCCGTTTTGGGGATTGTCCTTGAAAAAATCCTTCTCAATCTTTAAATCAGAATATTCGAAGGGATTTAAGTAACTACAGAAAACAATTTTTATTATAAAGTTTTGGTACCTTGTTTATTGTTACAAGGTGCCTGCCAACAGAAATAAATTATTTTTAGTTCTGACCTGACTACTACCAATAGTGGGTTTTGTGGAAATGTAAAATTCTTTTTCACTACAATTTCTGACATTGTTTCCATTATTTCTTTATAAGCAAATGTGTTGTTAATGACAGGCATGTTGCCACGGAACAGAAAGTTTGTTGGAGAGCTGGATTTTGGATAATAATCAATCCTGAAACAATAAGTATTAGATTTTGAGGACCTTCTCCTCCTCCCAACACTGCTACTAACTTACAGTAATGTCCTTTGAGGATGATAGTCCTCGCTGATACAACATTTCAGCAATAGAGCTGCTACAAACAAAGATGATGCTAGCTGAAACTTGTCCATTGCTGCAATTTGCAATTTTGCAGACTAACAAGCCCCACCTAGTAGATAGGAGGACCAACCACACCCTATCATTAAAGCTGTAGAATTTCGAGGTAGAATTCATGTTGAAGTTCCTTCTCCAGAGAAAAATCGCCCTACCTTCAACTGCTTTAAGATTGTGTGCTATAAACACAAGGAAATACTCTCAGAATGTCTTGAGGACGGGCTGTATCATGAGCAGACGAGACCAGCAGTTGGAACACGGCCGGGGTCTTTATGTAATTTTCAGTTCTTCACGTTGTTACTCCCGCCCGAGCTCCCGCCGTATTCAATATGCGGAGAGGAAAAGTGAGAAGCGCAAGGCTGACAAAAAGAAGCAGGTTATTCTTATAGATCAAGATGGAAATAATATAGGCTCAATGACATTAGATGTAGCAACTCAACTTACTGAAGCACAAGGCATGGAATTGGTTACTGTAAGTACTTAGTATTATTGTTAGGGTTTCACACAGGATTTTGACATCGTGCTCATGCAGATACTTGTCATTGGATTTTTAAGTTGCTCGAAAATTTGAAAAAATATCATAATACTCTACAAAGTTTTTTTCAAAAATTGCTAAAAGAGAATTCTCCATTTTTATAACTTATATATACATAATGCATGTTTTTACGAATTTTTAAATTCACTCAAAAATCAGGCCAAAGTCCCTGTACTATAGTACAGGGACTCAGGTCAAATTTTGCCAAAAATGACTAAAAGAGAATCATCCATTTTTATAATTTTTACTGATACCTATACATGTTTTTATGTTGTGTAGCAAGTTTGAGCTGATTCCGATCAAAATTGTATTTTTTATGAATTTTTAAAGTTACTCAAAAATCGAGCGAAAATCCCCGTACTATAGTACAGAGTTTTTTTGCCAAATTTTGCCAAAAATCACTAGGAGAGAATTTCCATATTTATAATTTTTTTCTGATACGTATACATGTTCTTATGTTGTGTAGCAAGTTTCAGCTGATTCCAATCAAAATTGTATTTTTTATGAATTTTTTAAAGTTACTCAAAAATCGAGCCAAAATCCCTGTACTATAGTACAGAGTTTTTTTGCCAAATTTTGCCAAAAATCACTAGGAGAGAATTTCCATTTTTATAATTTTTTTCTGATACATATACATGTTCTTATGTTGTGTAGCAAGTTTCAGCTCATTCCAATCAAAATTGGATTTTTTATGAATTTTTTTTAAAGTTGCTCAAAAATTGAGCCAAAGTCATACTATATACATGTATAGTAGAGAAACTATTGCCAAAGAGAGAATTCTCCAATTTCAAATTTTAAAAATACATATACATACGCATGTATTCTTATTTTGTGTAGCGAGTTTGATTCTGATTTGGGAAGGGAGAAAAAATTGTGTTACTTAATGGTCAATGGTTATGTAATGGTGTATTTAGTACTAATAATAGGAGTTTTAAATTTAGCAAATTGACTCTAAGAGGCTTGGCAGTGTGAAAGTTTGACCATGTGCATGCTGCTACAGAGCTAAATTTTGGTGAATGGGCCCCAATTCATCAAAATTTTATTTCATTAAATTTTCTAGCTATATGGATCTATTGTACTATTTTTTAATAGGTAAAGAAAGGTAAAGGACAGGAGGTGACAGTGTGTCGTATGATGTCAAAAAAGGACATATACGATAAGAATAAGAAACTAAAAGAACAGAACAAGAAGGATCCAAAAAGTGTTACAAAAGATATAAAATTCACCATTGGAATATCACCGCACGATATAGAAAACAAAGTCAGCCAGATTCAAAATATCCTTGAAAGGAGGAACAATGTTAAAATATGGATACAAACAAAACTGAGAAGTCGTCAGTGGGAGATTGATGAAATGAGGGAAGCAGAACAGAAAAGGCAAATGGATTTACTGGATTCAATACTTGCAAGTATCAAAGATACAGGTGTTCCTATGGGTGATAGGAAATGGTCTAAAAAGGACCTGCTCTTAACTGTCAGATCAACTGTAAAAATATAATATGCAAATTTATTTTAATTAATTATTTATAAATGTATTGTATTATACAACTGATGATGATGATGATGATGATTGATTAGCCATTAGTGAATGGTTCTAGTATAAAGATGATGTTGGCGTCACTATACTGTTAGGGGATACTCTTCTCGCTTCTTCATCAAGTTTATCGCTACTGAGAACCAGCGATCTTTCTTCTGCATTAATGTGAATGGTGTGCTTGCACTTCTTCAAGCATCTAGGCAAAAACTTGTCCCTGACGCTGCTAGTAAGAAACACAAAGATCAACCCGTTTGCCAGACCTTGCCCAGAGTCACCGATTCCCTATGGAAATCAAACAATGATATCACTTCTGCCAATTTGATTGTATGTAATGATAACATACCATTATAGCGGGAAATTTTGGACTTTGGAGGGAGTAAAAATTGGTGAATTGTTAAATTATGGTGATTGGCAGATTTTAATTGGGAAATTTGTGGCCACGTGGCATTTAGCATGCATTATAATGGCTCAAAATGGCAGGTTTTTATTTTGGCGAATGGCTATCAAAACGCCAATTCGCCAAATTTAATTCCCTCCCAAATTTCCTGCTACACGGTATCCTCCCTTTTGCTCTGCAATATATTTTATAGTAAATGTGAACATGCTTTTTCATGTTGTTTGATGTAGGACGATCAAAAACTCTAGCCAAGCAATAATATCAAAACTTACAGACATTATAATAAGAAACATGGACACCCAATGGGGTAGAGAGTCAGGATCCACACCACAATAAACAAACACAATGTTAACTATACAACTCCATATCCTGAGTAGAAGAAAAGCTATGGGGATGAGAAAGAGCTTGAAATTGAGAAACTCTAGAGCTTTCTTCCAAAAGGCTTTGGAGCCAATGAGTTGTATGGCACCCTTGAACTATAGAATAAAAAGACAAAACTGTGTATTGAATAGGAAGTACAATGGTCATTGTGCAATTATGACAAAGGCATCAATTATATGTATTAGGTTACCTCAATATTCATTTGTAGTATCAAAATAGGATATACGACGGCACAAATGAAAAATGTTAAATATATCCAGAGATCGTATCCAAAGACAGCTGCCATAAAGTCAACATTCTTGTTTCCAGGTGAAATTATGATTATGCTGCACCAGCCAGAAGAGTTGTACGGCGAATGGCCAAGACGATTGGTGAGGATAAGCCAAATTGATAGACCTATTCCTAAACCATAGCACAGTACATAGCATGCTGGCAAACAGAGTCTCATCTTTTTTGTACTCTTCAAGTTTAGAAAGACCAGACTATACATGTATACTGCCAGTGAGGTTGTCCAAAACACAGAACAATAGGTAGTAAGCAATGCAATGAATGCTTGAGTCTTGCATAAAGAGTCCATTGCATGTGTACCAGTCAGTACTGTCCCATTATTCATGTCCTTGTAATACTGATCAAAGTTGATTATCGCCCCAAAGAAGTTAGCAGCACCAATTCCAAAGTCCATCAGTGATAGATTGACCAGTATTTGTCTAGCTTGGCTCCTGAGAGACTTAAAGCACACATAAGAAAGGATGACAAAGATAGCTCCTATCATGGACAGGCTACAAACTATCATGACTGTTGTTCTAACCAAAAGGTGCTTCTCTGATGGAAAGGAAGCAGGTCCAACATCACTGCCATTCACCATTGTCTGCCAAAGCGAATAAAATTATTATTTACGAGCGCTAAAGACACGCCCAATAAATCTAATCATTATCATAATTTTTATCATACGGTAAAAGAATCCGCCTTGAAATCTACATAACAGGCCACCATGGATGATTCCTTGTTGTCGAACGAAACCAACTCTTTCTCCGATAAAAAGCTTGCTGTTAGAGTAGTAGTGGGTGCTACTTGTGTACTATCAATGCTAGGAGCAGTTTCAATTCTCCTCTCTTATGCTTGCATCAAAAGTCTCAAATCTCAAGGTAGAACAATCCTCTTGAATCTGAGTCTCATGGACTTTGGAGTTGGACTCTTTAATTTCTTGGGAGCTGTTATCAATTTTAATCAGTACTACACATATTATGATCCAAAAACAGGACTGGTAACGGCGGACTCACACCCTACAGTTGAAAAGATTTGCATATCTCAAGCATTTTTAGCACATTTCTGCACAGGAGCTTCTGTACTGTGGACAGCTTGGTTGGCTGTGTACATGTACATGCTGGTTTTTCAGGTCTACTTTGGAAGTAAAAAGTTCCTCTCGGTAGGTTATGCTATATGTTATGGATTGCCTCTTGGCATGTCAGTGTGGTTACTGATGACAGATAGGTTAGGATATTCCATATACAATGAAGCAGCCTGGTGTGGGCTGATTGTGAGCAATAGTACAGCTCTTACTGGATTACCTGATTACTTTGCTATTACAATTGGATATGACATCTGGATTTATTTGACTATTATCCTTACTGCTACTATATACCCAGTACTATTCACATACCTGCACATTGAGGTTAGTATCTATTATGACAGCTATTCTATACTTTCATCATGTGATTGTAGTATTGTGTTTATATACCTTATCAAAAAAATAAATTTTAAGACGGGTGGTATTTTGGGACACAGCCAGTAATCTCATATTTTCCAATGCATAGTATGGTCAAGCTCGTAAGCTGGTTGGTGGCATTCAATACTGGAGAGAAGCACTTGTTTTCCTTGATGTCAAGCTAATTGCAATTCCCATTGCTTTTGTGATACTCAGGATGTGGACTGCTATTCTCAATATTCTCATAATATATGCAATGATACCACCAGACAATATACCTACATCCATCTCAACTGCATTGATATACCTATCAGTAAGTGGATATATAATAGGTCTCCATTACAGAAATTCATTTTGATTTATGCTAATATATTAGGGTATAGGAGACTCTGGTCAAGGCTTTGTTAACGGATTGCTGTTTGTTTTTTTGACTCGAGAGGTAAGAAAAAGACTTTTCTGCAAAAGAAGACACAAACAAGAAGACAAAAGACAACTTTTGACTTCAGAGAATCAGAGGATTCATGGGAATGTTAGATGCAATGAAAGACAACGCACCTATTCACCTAGTGAATCACTACGTGTAGAAAGTGATGTTGACGGTTAATGAAAATGCTTTCATGTTACAATCATGTGTATTGGTGTGTATTGTTGTATTTTTGCTGTCACAAACTAACTCAATTTTATTATTGCTATTAAAAAAAATATGGCACTTAAAAAGGTTTAAAAAACTGAAAAAATAATAAAAGGTCTATAACAGTTTTAAAAAACAAATCTAAAAAAAATCAATAAAAGATTGGTGATTCACACGTTGTCGTATTGCTCAGATGCAAGAGCTGGCAACAACTCCTTTAGTTTTAGTTCTAGCTTCATCCTAGCATCAACCTCGGTTGACAAAGAATTCCTCAATTTGTCAATTTCCTGTAACAAGATAATAGCTAGTACTTTACATGCCAGGAAGTGTATGTCTACTTACACCGGTCAGCCATGTGACTTGAGTTTCCAGCTCATTGACCATATCAGCATTTACTCTATAAAGAATGTGATAACAACAATTATGCCACTATTCACTCAAACCTGTTGACTTCTTTCAATTTAACCGGAGAAGTTGTAGCTATTGAAAATTAAAGAAATTTTACCATGGGCTGCCACACACACACGTACATTAATAAGGATGCATTTAAAAACAGGACACAAGCACTTATAACAAACACAACAAATAAAATAATAAACAACGCGACAACATCACAGACCAGTGGCTTATACGACTAACGAACGTCCTTCAAAAGGAAATTATTATTAATCAAAAATGATATTGCCATTTCTTAAGTGGATGCATTTTAATGTACAAAAAATGTTTATCTCTGTCTCTCTATCTCAAATCTCTTCCTTGCTAATGGTTCTTGGTACTCAAGTTATGATGGGAGTCAAAGCTTCCAGACCGCTTTCGACTCATGCCCCTTTTCTCAGTTTTTGGAGAAGGAGAGCGTATAAGTGAAGACGATATCCTCCCCCCGCCAGGTATGCCAGAGAGAGTGTTAGTTCTCTTGTGGACCACCTCGTGATGAACAGTGTCATAGTTTCCATCATCGGAAGGAGATGGAGGAAGTGGCAGAGGCAACCGTGACTTCGATGGGGATACAGGAAGAAGAGAATGTCTAACTGGAAGGCTGTGCTGATCAGCTATAATAATGATAGCATCAAATGACATAGAGAGAGGGAGAGGGAAAGAAATGACAAGAAAAAAGAGTAAACCTTAATGCACAAAGAAAACCAGAGGTGTACTACTGGGCAACTTTAAAAATCAACTAATGTGTAAATGTCCTAGTTTGGCCAATTAATATTCATATTTGAAACTCATTTTCAATGAAACAAATTGATATTTGGCCCTATCCCAGCATACGTACATGTACATATCCATGCATGAACAAAGCCCAGTAATAGTGTAATACTGATATTGTAATAGTAATAATTATTATTGTATTATTGTAATTGGTATACATGTACGTGTACATTAGGTAGAGGTTTGTACTCACCGCACAGGATTGTAGTGTAGTGCGAGGAAATGGCCACCAGGAACAATGTTTATTATGAATCATACATTATTAATGCATAGAGTAAATGCGAGAGTACAGGCCAGTATACACCTCTGGCCGTTAGGTCATGTGATGTTGTCACGTGATGCATTAGTTTTATAAAATACACTTACGTATCAATGCACGTGACTTTCCCGAAGCACAGTAAGCTTCTATGACCTTTAAAATGCCAGCATCGCTTGCTTTATCTATAAAAACTTGCTATGAAATTTCATATGAGAGATAATGGTAATCTGCTGTACATGTAGACTTTACAGTGCACGCATTATTATTTATTTTAAAGACTATTTTTTAACTGTGCATATACAAAGTATAGTAAATGTACCTTGTTGGTCCAGTCCTAGAGAAGAAGGTTTGAGTGCAAAAGGACTATTGAGTGGATCTTCAATTGATTTAGAGCGACCAGAAAAGGCAAGCTCTAATAAGTCAATAATGATAATAATACACATGTAAGTGATTAATATAACAAAAAGCAACTGACTCTTTTTAGAGGCAGGATAAATGAATTTCTTTCCAGCTTTAGGGCTCTTTAGATCTCTCTGTATTATACATACGAATAAAATACAGGAGCTTATAACAACATGACTGATATCTCACCTCTCGTAGACACAAAAGCTGTTGAGTTTTAAGAGGCTGTGCCGGCCGGAGTGACATGAACCCCCAGTGATGCTGTCTCATGATGGGGACTGACGTCTTTCGAAGGAGCCTAGGTATGTAGCCTGCCTTTATTGTTGAGGAACGAGACGATAAAGATATCTTTGACGCAGTTACTGACATTGTACGGTGAGGAGCCTAACACACAAGTAGGAAATGATCGGATAAAATAAAAGAACACAAAGCCTGATTGTGGCTCACCCGTGAGCTGCTAGCATTTTGTGGGTTTATAGACTCAATCAAAGTGTTCTGGTCTTTTTCAGAAAGGAGAGAGGAGTGAAGGGTCCTTTTACCAGAGGATATCTCAACCGGATAGGGCCAAGAAGGAGAGTGCTGGCCTTTCTTGATCATAACAGCAGAGAGGTTAAAGTTACACTGTAAGTAAGAAAATAAGTAAGAAATAGATTAAATTGGGATTATGAATATTTATGTATTCAGCTAGGCCTTACTCTCATTTCATAGCCACTTAAACTGGCACCAATACCAAGCACAATAAACTTATCAGGAAAGACAAGATAGTAATGCTCTTCAACCTCCTACACAACAACAACAAGTGTGCCTAAAGGTAAACTAAAAATACAAGGACTCACTTCAGCATTGATTGCTTGATTCCCTTGTATGATACAGTAACACTGGCCTAGTTCCATTAGGTTCTAGTGAACATTTAATTATTTATTAGCATGTTTTTTATTGTACTAACATGTCCATTGTATCCTTGAACAGGACTAGACAACATATCAAACT